CAGAGCTGCGATGCAGGTGGTTAGAGAAGTTGTTGAATTTGGTCCTGGGGCTGGGGGCGGGGCTGCCTGGAAGAGGAAGAGACTGAGCCGAGTCTTGAGGGGGCAGAGCCATCAGCCGGAATAGAACTTTCCAGGTGGAGGGGACGCTGCGAATGAAGACACAGAGAAGACAGGATACGGCACGGTGTGTGCGTCTGTGGGCTCTGGGCAGTTGTGCACTGGCGAACACTTAACAGCCTGTCTCAGCAGCCACCACCAAACCAGAACAAAAACCCTGCCTGATGTGTAGCATTTGCCAATTTCCGTGGTGTAAATATTCTCACCACGGCCGATTTCGAGCTGCCAAAGTGACGTAACTGAATGTGAATTTGAGCATCTAGGTGTGTACCTGGCTCCCGCGCCAGTGTGAGTGGGCTGCACCACACCGCGCCTTGGCCTCGGGGCTTCACGCAGCGGGTGGGGGGGTGGGAACCAGTCCAGGGCTACTGAGGGGAAGACCCAGGGCAGCCAGGGCGTCACTTAGGCTGGCTTCAGCTGATGACTCGTCATTTTTCCCTGAGCATCCTTTCATATTCCTGACTCGCTTATTCAGGAAATCAGCAAGCATCTCCCAGCACCTACTACGTGCCAGGCACAGTGCTAGGGACGCGCTGATCACAGTGCATGGAGAGCCATGGACATGCTCAGGATATTGACAACTTTGTAGGCTGGTGGTCACCAACAAGGCCATTGGTGGGCCTCCCGGGGCCCCTCCCACCGACTGCTGGCCTTCAGTTATTTTTTTTTTTAATCTGCTTTAGAAGGTCTGGGATAAGCATTGGCCATTCTCTGTTTTGTTTCTTTTTTTTTTTTTAAAGATTTTATTTATTTATTTTTAGAGAAGGAAGGGAGGGAGACAGAGAGAGAGAGAGAGAGAGAGAGAGAGAGAGAGAGAAACATCAATGTGCGGTTGCTGGGGGTTATGGCCTGCAACCCAGGCATGTACCCTGGCTGGGAATCGAACCTGGGACACTTTGGTTCCCAGCCCGCGCTCAATCCACTGAGCTACGCCAGCCAGGGCTGTTTTGTTTCTTTTTAAAAAGATTTTACTTATTAATTTTTAGAGAGAGAAGGGAGGGAGAGAAACATTAATGTGCAGTTGTGGTTGCTTCTCTTGCGCCCCTACTGGGGACCTGGCCTGCAACCCAGGCGTGTACCCTGACTGGGAATTGAACCAGTGACCCTTTGGTTTGCAGGCCTGTACTCAATCCATGGAGCTACACCAGCCAGGGCCTGTTTTGGAAGCCCAGGTAACTCTGATTACGGGTAGGGCGGCTAACTCAGCTCTCAGAAGAAATTTTGGCCCCCGAGGTGCCTCCCCCTCCCTCCCGTCCCTCACTTCAGGACACAGCCGTCTCCTCTCCACCGAGACCCACCGTTTCTCTCACTTCTGGATGACGGTTCGTGCCCCGTAATTGTTTGGTAAATGACTCTGAACACACAAAAATCATTTTGTTGTAGCACATTCCCTTCCATAATGACCGTTCACTTCAATTAGCTCTCCGCGGCCCGACACGGAGACTCGGGGCCCCGCTTGGGTAAGTCACCGCCTCAGTTTGAAATTGGACTTGAGGCAGCGGGGTGCCTGCTGGGGGTGGACGGAGGGGGTGAATATTTTATCATTCCCTCCTCCCCGACGTTCTGCTGGTTTGCTCTCGTTTCCATGGCTCTCCCCCTGCGCACGGGCAGATTGCAGACTGTAAATTTGAGGGGAAATTGTAAACGTGCAAACACGATAAATAAACATGTTGCTCTTGCGAGGATGGATGTTATTATCACCCAGATTTACAGCTCGCCTCGCCTGCACGTTTTGTTGCATTTTGGGAAAAACCGAGTGAGGTTTTCACGTGTCACATCCACCAACTTTCTACCCTTTGCCCCCCCAACCCCCCCTTCACCCCCTCTGAGTCATTTAAACGTCCACCCGAAATGGGGGCGCGGTTTGCCTCCCTGGAAGCGGCAAATGCGTCGTAACAGGTGTTTTCTTTGGGGACAGTTATGTATAGCTGCGAAAGCTACCGTACCGTGGGGTGCTTTTGTCTCCTCCCTCCCCCTTCTCATTTCTCTAACACGGAATTTATTTGTGTTTTCCCAGTAGGAAAGAGTACCAAGTCAGTGATGTAAAGTAGATCTCTCTCCCCCTCCCTCTCTCTCTCTCTCTCTGCCTCTGCCTCTCCACGTTTCCCACCCTCTTCCGTTTTCCGTCTCTGGGACACCCCTGGATTGTCCCCTCGTCTGAGTCCAAGGGTTGCCACCAACTCCTGTGCCACCTGAGTGGATGCATCCCCTTCTCCGAGCCCCCCAGCACTCTCAGAGCTGGGCTCGATCTCTCGTGTTCCTCCTTACCAGTTTATTTTGTATTTTATCTTATTTTATTTTTTTATCCTCACCTGGGGACATTTTTTCGTTACTTTTAGGGAGAGGATGGGAGAGAGGAAGGGAGAAGGGGGAACATCGATGTGAGGGAGAAACACTGATGGGTTGCCTTCCAGACACACCTGGACTGGGGATCGAACCTGCAATCTGGCTACACACCCTGACTGGGAATTGAACCTGCAACCCTTTGGTTATGGATGACTCTCCAACCAACTGAGCCACACTGGCCAGGGCCCTCCTGACCAGTTCACAGGGAGAACTGAATGAGATATTTCCATCTGTCCCCACCTTCCACCCCCCCGCCCCCCGCGCCTCCCCTCCTAGATGGTGAACTCCTAGGGACCGGGAGCTAGGCTGGCTCACCGCCTTTTCTCCCCCACCCCCACTCTCCGTCTGTCAAAGGGCCTCCTCCCAGGAGCTGCACAGGCAGAACCTCGGTGGCCTCTTTGCCTCGTCACCTCCTCCTGCCCACATCCAGTCTGTCATCAAGTCCTGTGGATTCTTCCCTCAGCTGTCTCCATGCTGTCTGACTCTCCCTGACCCGCCAGCTTCTCCGGATTTTGTGTCCACAATGCCAGGTATGGAGCTGGTCTCTGACCACTGTCCCCTGTGAAGGGATCACTACACAGTGTCATGACTGACTTCCCCGTCTGCAGGCATGCCCGCCCCACCCGCCCAGGACATACTGTAATAGCTAAGGGTTGGGGCAGTGAAGCACGTGCCTGCAGATTCTGTTGCTAAGGAAACCACTTCCTTGGTTACTGGCCTGGGTAGCATTTGTTTCTCTGTGTCTGCATCCCACTGAGTTGCTCCCACTCTCCAGGAAGAGGAGGAGGAGGAGGAGGAGGAGGAGGAGGATTGGGGAGAGGACAATAGGAGTGGTGAGGAAGGAAAGAAGAGGGGGAGCCAGAAACAGGCAGAGAGACAGAGAGCTCAGACATCAAGAGAGAGAGAGATGCTGGTGCAAACCGAAGCGGAAATCAAGAAAGAAATAATGACAGAATGAGGGAGAGAGAGCGAAGGACAAGAAGAAGGTTTATGAGTAGCTGGAGGAAAGAACCGAGACCACAGAAAGGGAAGTCGAGAGACGGAGGCAGTGTCAAGGAACAGGGAGAAAGGGGGCGGGTGGGGAGAGGACAGACCAGTGCAGGAGCGCTGGGGCCTCTGGGAGGAGACGGGCCCCCAAAGGACCTGCCAGCCCCCACCTGCCTCCCCATCCTCCCCACCTCCCACGTTGCCCACTGGAAACACATCAGCAGCAGCCTCCAGGGTTACTGGAGGGAGAAATCAGGGGGAAATCCCAGCTGTTAGCAGATGCTGGGCCTTGCCTGCCCGCCTTGCATGCTACAGCCTCGGCAGGAGGGCGCCCAGGCGTCCCAGGCTCGTCCCTGCACTGGAAGGCAAAGCTTTCCTTTCTCCTCAGGTGCAAGGGTGCTTCACAGCACCCTTGTGAGTGTGTGGGCTGGGTGTTTGGGAGGTGGTCCTGGCCGGGGTCCCAGCCCCAGTTCTGTGGTGGGCCTCTGTGGGACTTGGGCCAGCGTCCTGCTGAGTAATGGGGCTGATTTCCCCCTGGGGTCGGTCAGGAGCCACCCAGGTCCTCCTCCTCCTTTGCGCCATCTCCCCCCGAGCTTCCCGACCACTGTCCAGTATCTGCTCAGTGCTCGGTGAGCATAAACTCTGCGGGGATGTACGCTCCGTCTCGGCAACCTTACACTCCTCTTTCTGGGGTCTTTAGCAGCCCAGGACTGGGGAAGAGACCTCCCCCCGCCCCCAGGCCTCCTGAGCGCTCTGCTGGGTAAGGAGAAGCCCCTCCCTCCCCTTACCCTCATCCCCTGCCTGTCCCAGCTGTTCCGAGCCCCTCTCCTCCTTACCAATCGCTTGGCAGGACATGCACTCATGTCCCTCCCTTGGGCAGGGACAGTCCCTGAGTACCAGCACCCTTCCACAGAAAGCCCCTCCATCTTGTGCGGAGAGAGGACACAGGGTCCTCCTTCAGGGGTATTTGGGGGTTTGAGACTCACTCCACCCACCAGGGAACGGGGGGCTTTCTCTGTCCCTTTGTACTCTTGGTGGTTTCCAAACAGGGACGCTTACACCTCACTGTAGTAATCCCTCCCCACTGGCACCCGCTCCTCACACACACACTCACACACACACACACACACGCACATGCCAAGGACAAAAGGCACGTGCAGAAGACAAGACATCCCTCCACAGGACGCAGGCCCCTTCTCACGCCGGGAGCTCACGCTCACCAGCCGTCTCCTCCTCTGCACGTGTGAGATTCCACACGCGGAAACCTACACAGTCACATCAGAGACAGGACGGTGCCACACCAGCATGGGGGACACAGACTCAGGACACAGACTCGGGACACGGGGGGCAGGTGGCCTCAGAGACTGTTTCACACCCAGAGGCACGCCGTTCCTCACGGGCAGCCCCCGCGGCACCCGGGCGCAAACACGGTTGCGCATCGCAGGACGTTCTGTCCCTCACACACGCGGATGAACCCGAAAACCACCCCATTTGTGAACGCGCCCAACACAGCACTCCACCACGGGAGAGAATTACCAACAAAACTCACTTTTAATGATGGCGTTGACCTGAGGAATCTTCAGACAGGGGCTTGGGGCCTGAGTCGGCCGCTGGCAAAGAACCGGCCCGGGTCTCGGCCCAAGAGGCTCCCAGAGAGAGCTGGCCTCGGAGGGGCGGGGGCCTAGGCCCTCTCCTCTTCGCGAAAGGAGACTAGAAACTAGCCTAGGGCCGGGGGAACATGGTACAAAATACATTCAGAGCCCCCTGGCTGGGCCCTGGGGGAGCCCACCTCCCACAGATGAGGGGGTCCGGGAGACCACGGCGGGTCCCACTCCCCGGCCCCTCCTCTTGCATGGCCAGGTTCCCAGGGGCGAAACGTATGAGTCATCGTCCTCTTAAAAAAATAGATCTCTTCACACTCGCCTTCTCCATAGTGTCTTGGCTGTTTGGGAAGGAGCCTTTGCTTGCAACCCAAGGCTTCAGAGGGGCTGCCTGGGGGCGGGGGTGGCTCCAGACCGAAGAGTAAAGAGCGGAGGCCTATGGCTTTGCATCTACACGGTGGGGGCGGAGCAGGCGTGCAGGCGGCCAGTGCGCAGCCTCGGGTCTCCGGCGGCGGCGGCGGGGGGAAGCGGAGGGATTCTGCACCGATGCTGTCTGCCGCCGAGGACCGGGGACCCAGGCCCTCGGGAATCCTTTGGTTCGCCGTCTCAGCCTCGGGGGAGCAGCGTTTGTGTGGCAACGGAGGGCCACCCCATCCGTCTCACTGTCCCTTAAAGGACTCCCAAGAGAAGCTGCCACTTCTGAACTGGGACCACAGGAGGGTGATGGTCTGTGAAGGCAGCGCGGGGTCTCCTTTGGGTTTGGATCCGCCTGACCGGGAGCACCCTGGCTCTGCCCTCTCACCTGGCCAGCGAAGGGCCCACCGGTGGGGGCAGAAGGCAGTGAAGGATCGATGTGTCGGCCCCCACCCTGTGAAACGATGCGTTCCTAGGGCCCTCGTTCCTACTCGGATTCTGCAGGCGGCGCGCGGCCATCCTAGTGGAGTCGCTGTTGGTGCCTGATGCACCCACGGCCACCGCCCGGGCCCCGTGGGGGAGGAAAAGGGCAGAATTCTGACCTTAGAGGTGAACAGGCAACTGATCTTTTCTCCGGAGCAGTGTGACCTAGGGGCGGGCAGTAGGCCCCCATGATGGTGACCTTTAACCTGCTGTGAGCACCAGGGCCCCCCTCCCCACCCGATGTCAGAAACCTAAGGCTACAGAGGAACTTCCCTGCAATCCGTGGCCTGCACACACGAGCAGCCTGGGGAACCTGGGTGCCCCTTGGGTGGGGAGACGGGGAGGCTCCGGAAGCCCAGCCCCGAAGGGCAGAGCAGCCGGGGTTACCTCCCTCCTCCTGCCCCTTCGGCTCCTGCGTCTCAGCACCTGGGAGAGGCGCCCACGTCTCCGGGACCCCCACGAGCCCTCCCTCCCACAGCGGAACCCAGAGTGGGGGGGCAGGGAGAGACGGAAGAGGGTCTGCGTGGCTGGAACGCCCCCACCGGTGGCCTCCTGCTTCTGTAAAGGGGACTGTGAGCAGGTGAGGGTCGTGCCTGGAACCTCCTCCCTGGAGGCTCCTTGGTCATGCAGGAAACTCATCGAAGGCCAACAGCAGCCAAGGGGATGTCCCCGTGCCAAAGAGAGGACAGAGGGGCAGGGGTCCCCGGGGGCTCGGTCGGGACCCCCTTCCCCAGCCGACCCATCATCTGGGGTAGTAGTCATCGGGAACGCCCGTGAGGTTCCTGCCTTTCAGGGCCGCGTCTACCATCTTGATGTAGGCGGAGATGGCCTTCTGCATGTCCGCCGTGTAGGGGTCGTACTCCAGCTTCCGGAGCCCCGAGCGCTTGAAGTTGCCGTCCTTCTGGCTCTCCACGCAGAGCAGCCGGTCCTCCCGGACGGCCACACCCAGCAGGCCCACCATCCGGCCCAGCTGGACGAACAGGTCCTGCTTCAGGTCCTCGAAGTGCACCACCAGCACCTTCTTGCCGAACTTGAGCCAGTCCAGCGTGTGAGTGGCCCACCACGGCGCGTAGTTCCTCACGAACTCCGGCCACTCTGCGGAGAGAGGAGGGCGGGCTGAGTCTGAGGGGGGCGGGGCGTACAGGATGCAGGCCAGGTGGCGCTGGCCGAGGTCACCAGGATTCACGGCAATAATAACACCACGGACTCCTTTCCTCTGCATGCGCCACTGATCCCCCCCCCCCTCCCCCGCAGTGCTGCTTCTGCTTCTGCCTGGGACAGTCTCAGTCCTCCCTTCCCTTCGGGGACAACATTTGTTGGGTGCCTGCGACACACCAGGCACAGATGCACATATAATGTCAGCTACTGTCCCTTTATATTTTAGCATATATTTATGTTAATATATAAAAGTATATGATTATAGTTACTAATTCACTTATTCTGCACAACTCTAGGAGGCAGGTATCACCATTTTTTTCCTCATTGAACAGAAGAGGAAACTGAGGCACAGAGAGGGTAAGGAGCTTGCTCAAGGACACATAGCTAATAACTGGCAGAGCCTGGACTTGAACCCACACATTCTGGTTTCAAAGTCTAGGTTTTTGACTACCAGAGTGTCCTGGGCAGTAATAGTTGTTCTGGGTAGTAACCGTTACCCTGTGTGGTAAGAGTATTCGCTCACAGGATAATAATAGGGCTGTTGTACGAAGTAAGTGGAAACACATGTGAAGTTGTCAGCATGGGGCCCTGTACCCAGTAAACGCTGTTACTGTCACTGTCACTGTCACCATTATAGTCACTGTCACTGTTACTGTTATTGTCACTATTACTATCACTGTCACTATTACTGTCACAATTACTGTTACTATTACTGTTATGATTACTATCCTGTCACTGTTACGATTGCTGTTCCTGTTACTATTACTGTCACTGTCACTGTTGTTGTTCTGGTCTCAGGCGTGATGTTCTCTTTTCTGACTCCCCAGGCTCAGGCAGGTGTCCTGCTGGGCCTCACGGCCCCTCACACCGTCCATGTACATGTACCCTCTGTCTCCCCGGCGCTGTGGCCCGTCAGATTATTGTTATCTTTTCTCCTGTCTGTCCCACCTTCCTTTCTTCACTTTGCATTACAGAATTGTGTGCCATTTGTTTTGGCTATTCGCCTGTTACCTTGCTGTGGTAAATGACAGGACGGAGTGCCACCAACGTGGGAGGGTATGTTCGGGGCTGGCTGCCTTGAAAGTCAGGCCCCAACACAGTGCAGGGAATTCCTCGGGGAGCCCTGGAGAGGACCTCGCAGAGCCAGCCCGCCAGCCCCCAGGGCTCCCGAGGGGAGCCGGGGAGGAGGCTGGGGACAGGGGGAGGGACTCCAGCCTGAGCTCCAGCTCTGAGCCCGGCTGCAGAGTCACTGCACGGGCTGTCCGACACCCTGAAGCCAGACCTGCTGCGCTGCCCCGGGGCAGGGCCCTGGGCGCCCTCCCGAAGGCCGTGTTACTGCACCAGTGTCGGTGCGTCTCCCAGGCCAGTCTGGGGAGCCCAGCTGGTTCTTAAGAGCTAAATCTTCCTCCCTGGCTGGGTGATGGATACCCATGATCTCACTTAATGCTAACGACCACCCTGAAAAGAAAGGACCACTATTCACTTATCACCACGGAGGAAACTGAGGCTCAGGGAGGCGAGGGGACTGGCCCAAGGCCTCACAGCCGGGAAGCACCGTCCAGGCCAGGCTTACCGGGTTCCAGGTTCCAGTCTACCCCAGGTGCCAGCAGCCTCGCCTGCACTGTCTCCCACTGCCTCCCACCCCACAGGGGCTCCATAAATAGTTGTTGAATGAAATTGAAATCCCCAGCCACCACGTGGCCAAGTGATAAAGGATTCCTTCTTCTGTGCAGAAGACATCGGAATCGGTGGTGGGGCTCCTGCTCCCCCAGAGACCCCCCGCTGGAACAGCAGGACTGCTGGGGAAATATTTATGCTGGGGATAAGGGCATTTTTGATCCTTAAGATAGATTATTTACAATGTATCTGGCTAATTGGGCCCATACTGTTATAATGTGTTAAGACCAGATGTATCTGGGTGATTAGAAAAAATTTAGCGTGTGTATAGTCTGTTTCACTTTTTTTTAAAAGGATTTCCCCATTCCTGAGTCATCTCCCAGCATCTCTGGTGACTCAGGGCAACTGCTGTTTCTGTGGCAGAAGCCCTGATGGGTGGAGGTGACCTCCAATGGATGGAGGTGATGCTCTGTTACCTGGAGACACACAGATCTGAACTTCCAGGCTTGGCCACCTCTGGTCACCTCAAGTGGTTGCTGGAAGGGGGCTGCAGGGTGGTCCCCAAAGAAAGGGAAGGGGCCATTCTGCAGGGTGGTCAGGGTCCCCTGCTGGTACCCCTAGCCTTGGACGCAGGTGGGATGGAGATGACAGGGCATCCCTGCTGATTGCAAAGCTCCCTGGGATGGGAGCGTGCATTTCCTAAGCACCAAGTATGTGTCCCGGCCGTGTGGGCGATTTGCATGCGTTATCCCCCACAGGGCCCACAAGAAGCCTCGAGGGCAGGAATGACCGGCCCCATTTGACACACAGGGGCAGGGGCAGGAGGCTGCTCACCCAAGGCCCCTGAAGGGATTGAGACCCAGCCACTCCTTTCAAAACAGAAACAAAAACAGAATCTAAAGCAAAGACAAAGTTCAAACACGTGAGCAATCTCAAACTAAATCCTCTGAAAGGAAGGACAGGGACACCAGCCTTAGGATTGTATCTCACACCCAATGGCCCCACAGATAATCCTGTCGAGGTCCAGATGGCAGAGACAGGAGTTTCCAGTGCGCATAAGACGGCAACGACCAGACCCAGGCCCCAGAAAATAAGAAAGCGAGCAAAGAACAGCTGTAATCAAAGGTTCGTTTCAAACAGACAGGAGAAGCCTGCTGGATCCCTCCGGAATGCAAAAACACTTCACGAGTGAGTGTTGTTTCCATGGCAATATATTTGTTTGCGTGGATCCGAGAGGAATCTGATTTTTCCCCGACAGGACCCGAAAAGCCAGTTTCCAGTTGCGGAAAACAGGACACAGAGATCAAGGGGAGGGGGTTGGAAAGTTCTCTGTGTGCAGATCAGCCCCATGCATTCTGCTAAGGACCTGGAATGGGCCCACGGATGGTCTGGGGTGTGTCATCCTGGTTTTACAGCTGAAAGTCAGCGAATCTCCTGGAGCTGCTGGGATGACTGAAGGTCGGAGCCTGTATCTTTTGAAGGCGGTTCCTAAGATTCTTACACAAACATGCTGTTTATCTACAAGCGACATATCGGTCAGAGTCCGCACTTACAGAAACAGTGTCAAAAGAATGGTGGGTGGGTGACAAGGCCCCACTGCTACATATCCAAGGCAGGATTCGAACCCACAACTACGCTGGACTGAGCCTGGCTCCTGTTCCCCTGGCAAAGCCTGGGAGGGCTCCTGATCTGGTCCGCTCAGACATTCTCCTCTCCAGACACTAAGACACATGGTCTGTTCACAGACGACTTGGGAGTTGGACGACCTGCGTTCAAAACCCAGCTCCTCTCCACATTAGTGGTGTGATGTTAGGGACATGGGTCGATCTCCTCGAGCCTCAGTTTACCCATCTGCAAAATGGTGACCGTGCTAGACCTGCATCCCAGCTGCTGTGCAGATGAAATGGGAGGAGATTCGCCAAGGTCCCGGCAGGGGGCGTGGGATACGGGAGAGGCCTGAGAAGTGTGGCTCCTGTCACAATTCTTCTTAGGCTGTGCGCGCCCCACCCCGCCCCTGCCCCCAGCATCTCCGAGGCGCCATCACTTTGCTCAGGGCTCCCCCCACCCCCGCCACACCACGTGGGACACCCAGGCTGTTCCAGCAGCGCCCCCTCCCCCCCCACCGCCGCCGCACGGCACAGATCCCTTGCCTGAAGCTCCTCAATCGCTTTGTTGGGAAGAAGAATAAAACTTAAAAACAAAAGCCCTTGATTAGCTCAGCATTTCCGATATGTGATCGCTGCCGTCAAAGTGGGTAACGGAGGCACAATGAGCCGCGGGCCACGGGCACAGGGCTGGTTCCCCCAGACGGGAGCGCTCGTGGGCCTGGGCCGGCCACCGCACTCCCTCTTCTCGTCGCCGGCAGGAACTGGGGTCTGATTAATAGCTTAACTGTTCTTAATTCCCCACGGAATCATTAAACACAGCCTCTGTTTCATTAAACAGATCCAGGACAATTCACCTTGTGTAATCATATCACATAAAACTTTGCTTTGGACCCACTCCAGGGACATTGTAAAATCAGCGTTACGGAACCAAGTATATGTGTGTGTGTGTGTGTGTGTGCGCACGCGCGTGTGCACGTGCGTGTGTCGGGGGGTGGGCATTAGAGGAGCCTCCACCCAGCTATCGCTGAGAGGGGTGCACGGGCAGGGTGGGGTAGACATGCTCCACAGCTGGGTGACCTCTGCTCTGAGGGGCGTGACCTCATATTCTAGGCTGAGGACGTCTGAAAGCCGAGATTCTCAAATGTTCAAGTGCACATGAAGATTGTTCAAATGCAGATGCTGACCCAGTGAGCCCGGGAAGGGTGGGGGAGGTTTGCTTTTCTAAAAATCTCCCGGGGGAATCGATGCGGTGGTTGGTCCCTAGGCTGCCCCTGGAGCAGCACGGATCTGTAGCAGCGTTTCTGCAAGTGGAGGGCGTGTCAGAAACAGCTGGGGGATTGCTGCCACGCGGAAGGACGGATGGACAGATGGACAGATGGACAGATGGCTAGGCTCTCCCCAGGGTTTCCGATTATTCTGCAGGTCTGTGGGGGGGGGGGCTTAGATTTGTGTTTCCAACCAGTTCCCAAGTGAAACGGACGTGGCTGGTGTCGAGGCCCGCAAGGAGGGGTCTCAAACGCAGGTGCCAGAGGTTAACGCAAATGAGCAGGAAGGGCTGGGTGGGGACGGGAGGCTCGGGTTCTTCGGGGAAGGTGCTCAGCTAGAGCTCTTGAAGACCTGGGCCAGGCTGGGGAGGGGACACTGGGAGAAGCTTCCCTACCCAGTTCCAGATTCATGTGGGGCCCCCCAGACCCCCACCGTGAGATGTGTGTGCGGGAAACCCCACTCTCCCCCACCGAAGCCTCTTGGCTCAGCCGGTCCTGACTCTCCCTTCTCTCTGTGTTTAAAGCTCCCAGCTGTCCTGAATAAGAGAAGAGAGGCCCCCGGGCATTAACGTGGTCTGAACCTGAACCTGAACCTGAGACAAGGGGCTGTGCCAGCAGAGGAGAACCTCCGGAGGCACCGGAAGGTCAGCAACGCTGCCGGGTAAGAGAGAGCCCGGTGGCTAACGCCTGGGCTAGAACCCAGCTGGGTCCACAGCTGGGGCCCCCACCACAGGACCCACTCCCTTCCGGGGCTGCAGTTCTCACCGCGAAATGGAATTTAACAACGATCACAGCCGCCTTTCTTACCTCCTCCGAAACTGGATGGATTAAATGAGGTAACGAAGGCTAGGTGTCTGCTCCCCCTGAGCTCCCCAAGCGAGTTCCTCCATTTTCACTCGGGGCACCGGATGCCTGGGGCATAGAGCACTGGGTTCTAGTCCTGCCACCGTGTGCCTGAGTGACTGTGGCAGGTCCCTGCCGTTCTGGGCCTCGGTTTCCCCAGAAAGAAAGAGAGGGCCAATCAGCCGCTCTCAGTGCGGCCTGTGCCCTGGAAGCCTCTGGGAGCTTTAAACGTGCTGACGCCCAGGCTCCGCTCCAGGAACGGCCCGGGGTGTGGCCTGAGCGCCGGGGTCTTCCCACACTCCTCTGGGGATCCTGATGGGCAGCCGGGGCTGAGGCAGGCCCACGGCATTCAGTGACCTCTCGGGTCCTTTCCAGCCCGGCAAGCGGAGGGTCTGTTCCCGGGAGGGGCTCCTCAGCCTGGCCCTGACCGGGCCTCACTTTCAGTTGTTCTACAAATAAATAATTCAGAGGCCTCGTTCCTCCCGGGAACAAGAGAACAAATGTCGCCACCTGTCCAAGGGCTTGCCCCCTCCCTGAGAGGGGAAGCGAGGCAGAGGGAGGCACAGATGGGTGAACAGGAGCCCGGTGCACAGTTGCTGAGGCAGGCCCGAGGGTTTTCAATCAAGGACATCAACGTGGTCGAGGCTGTGATTGGTGGACCGCTGAGTTACCGATCCCGCCTGCGCTCCGGGCCTCTCTGGGCGGGGACCAGAGCTTCGGAGCAGCTGGGAGCCAGGGGGAGGGTGGGGGAGGAGTGGGAAGCACTACCCCCCACTCCCCCACCTGGCTTGGGGCTGGAGCAGCCTGGCTCCCAGGTGGAGTGGGGAGGAGCTCGTGTTAACAGACACTCTAAACTGGGTGATTCTTGTTCACCCAGTTTAACGGGTCCACCTAACCCGTTGCCATAGGATAGCACCGTGGTTAAGAGCGTGCACTCTGGCTGAAGGCTGGCTGGGATCAAACCCCAGCTCTCCCAACTTCCTGAGAAAGCTGCTTCACCCCCCCAACTCTGATCTTAGCTCGTCCCATTTATAAAACGAGTTCATTGTGGGGTGTTAAAGTGCTCGCCGATGTGATTCCTTTACTGTGATGGAGGTACAGGTGGTCGTTGATAACGGGCTTTTGAGACCCAGTAGGGTCAAAGGCACTCAGGATGCCAGAACTTGGGCCAGACTTCAAAGTTCTCGCCACTACCTCGAGCTGCCACCTATTCGTAAGTGTCATGGTCGAGTCTCAAACCCAGATCGTCTTAATGCAGTTCAGTGGTTAGGGGCCAATGCCGTCACTTTCCAGCAGGGACTGGGGACAAGGCGTGTACGGTCTCTGAGCCTCTGACCCAGAGTTGTTGGGATTGTCCATTAAAGGGATCTCTTGGGGCCTCCTAGCCACTCAGGGCCACTCAGCTGCTGGCCTTGGTCTGGATGCAGGTCCCCTAACTCCCAGGAAAGAGCTCTTGAACCTGCTCCAATCAATGCATTTCAACTTGAGGACCCCCGTTTCCATCGTGCATCATGGGTCACAGCTACTGAGTGGCTTAAAGGGTTAAATTCTACAGAGCTGCATTTACAGATGGGATGACCTACATTCGGGGAGGTTAAGAAGGTTTACCCAGGAAGTGATGGAGCTGGGACTTGAACCCAGGCAGGTCTTGCTCCACAACCCATGTCCTTAACCACTGAGCTGCCTCACAGAGGATCACGTGATGCCAGTGAGCAATGGGGTGTAGGAAGCGCATGTGCCATGGAGGATGCGCTCCTGGATTCCTTGCAGGAGACAGCACGGGCCCAGCGCACTGTGCCCTGCAACCCAGAACCCTTCTGTTCCCTTCCCTTCTCTCCTTCCCCCTTCCCGCCCCAGCTGTACCTTTGCCCTTCCAGTGGGCATGCGCAGCAAAGCCAATGTGGCCGCCGTACTTGCGGTTGAACTCGGCCATGAGGGCCTTGTAGGGGTTACGGATGAGCAGGATGGCGGCGTCGAAGGCCTGGATCTCCTTCTGGCCGCTCTCGTGTGTCTTGATGCAGATGGTCCTCCCGCTGCGCCAGTGGTCCCGCTCACCTTTAAACCCTTCCCACAGCCCGGGGGCAGGAGACAGGACAGGTGAGCTGGAGGAGACAAGCCATCCCCACCACCCCCACCCCCTGCTGAGCCTCTCCCCTGCGGAGCCTCTCCGGGAGTCCTCATACATTAACTCCCACATTTACTCACGTGTTTATTGAGCAACTACTATGTGCTAGGCACAGTGATGGGAACTAGGGATAAAGTGATTTGCAAAAAGATCCATGAGTCTTACTGTTACTTTTTTTTCTTTAGATAATATTTATTTCCCCCACACCATCCGCCCAGTTCTTAACCTGGGCTATCCAAATACCTGATCTGTGGGCTCCCCAGAGGCTGAGAAGGGCCCTGCCCAATCTGGGCTGTTGGCTCAGCCCCTCCTTCCTCTGTCTGGCCTCCCTCAGAGGCCTGGGCTCTGGGTCCCAGCAGCCCACCGAGCTTGAGCCTGCACTTGGGGCTGCGGAGATCAGAGAGGGGCAGGGGGACAGCAAGGGAAAGACGAAGACCAGGGAGAGGGAAGAGAAGGACAGAAACAGACAGGTGTCTGACAGAAAGGTGATTGTGACCGAGGGAGGGAGAAAAGGGGGCGGGAAAACAGACCTAGAAACAAAAGAGAGAACAAAGACACAAGGAGAGGGACAGAGAGATACAACCAGGCAGAGAGACACGGAGAAAGAAAGGAGCAGAGAAAAAAAAAAAAGTCAAGAAAAAGACACCGACGGGCAGATGGACAGCATCACAGAGAAAACCATGCTCAAGTGGGACAGACACTTGGATTCTGGGAGGGAAGCTCGTTCGCTCGTTCACCGAGTCCCTCCATCCTGGACGGGACAGCCCTTTGTGGGGGGTGCGCCTGTCGCCAGGACAAGGGAAGAACAGGTTGCAGAGCAAGCGGAGGCAGAAGGGAGAAAAGTCAGGCAGCTCTGCAGACTCAGGAGCGTGCTGGGGGGTCCCTGCACGGCCTGTGCTTGTCACAGAGGAGGAATCGGGTCTCTGGTGGAGGCAGGGACGTGCCCCCAGTTAGTCGAAGGGATGAGGGAGGAACTCCACTGAAGGGCTTAAATAAAGCACCGAGAGTCACGGCAGATCAGCTCATATAGAAACCAGCCCCTCCTGGCCCATGCCTGAGGCCCCTTTCTAACTACTGACCCCTCAATGTCCCTCCCCGCTGCCCCCTTCTCCCCACCATTGCTGCCCCCCCCCGCGATGATCCTGCAGGCTAAATGACCCCCACCCAACCTCTGTGGCCAGAGAGGTGTATCACCCGTTTGCACACCACTTCTTGGCCTGGAGTCCTCTACACCCCACTCCCCCACCCTGCCCGCCCAGTGCCCCCTGGATGACGTGCACGACTCTCAGAAGGGCGTTTCAAGGGCTTTGCAGTGTCCAGCCCTGGCTGCCCCTCCTGCCGCACGCCCCCAGCCCTCACCCCCCACCCCCTTCACGGTCAGGCAGCCTTCAAACTGTTTCCATTCGCAGGTCACGCTGCGGCACTCTCCTTGCCTAGGCTCCGCCCACTCCGTGCCCTCTGCCTGGAACTCCCTCCTCACCTTTTGGGTAAGTCTTCCCCACCTTCTGCACACACCCCCCAAAACATATAAATCACCGGTCACAGTGCTGGGCCCATGGTAGACATCCAATAAATGCCCACGATTATTAGTATTATTAGCAGTGACATGAATACATGAATAATAATAAGGGCCGTGATGAAGGAGTGCCCTGGGTACAAGGAAGATAAAGGAGAAGGACACCTAAGTCCGCCAGAGACCTTGCGGGGGGGCTGTGCCCTGCGGCTGGGGGAGCAGGTGTCCAGGCAGATGAGCGAGGACAGGGTGGCGGCAGGGCTGATGTCCCAGGGACAGTAGACAGCGTGTGCCGTGTCTTCCAACTACAAATCGCTCTTTCTGCCCGGAGTCTGATGCGAGAGAGGGGCGGCTGAACTGCCACCCCGCGGGAGCCAACCCAGGCACAGCAATTTACTCCACCTCTGGCTCCGGGTCCCCTCCCCGCCCCCCAGGCTCCAGGGCCCCGGGGGTGTGGTTTCATTAAGCGAGGCGTCTGTCAACTGCAGAGGTGTTGCGGGAGCGAGCTGAGGGTTTGCCAGATTGACCGATGCTCCTGGGGGTGGGGTCCCCTCTGCTTGCACCCCCCTGCCAGCCCTGAACTCCCAGGGAGAGAGCTCATTGTCACCTGCGAGAGCTCAGGCCACGGGAAGTATTTTTAAGCCCCTAGTGAAAAGGCAGCTGCACTCAAAGCACCAGGTGCCTGTGACCAGCCCACAGACCTCCGCCTTCCTCAGCGGGACTGACATCCCACAGCTGGGGCTCAGGGACCGCCGGGGAGGGCTGCTGCTCGCTCGCTCTGTATCTCTTTTGTGTTCCGTTTCTTCCTCTCGCCTTTCCTCCCTCCCTCTCTCTTCCTCCCTTCCTTTTTTTCCGTTTTTCTCCCTCTCTCTAGCTAAGGTTTTAGGGACAGCTTCTCTATTAATTTTCAACCCTTTTTTTAAAAGATTTTATTTATTTATTTTTAGAGAGGGAAGGGAGGGAGAAAGAGAGAGAGAGAAACATCAATGTGTGATTGCTGGGGGTCATGGCCTGCAACCCAGGCATGTGCCCTGACTGGGAATTGAACCTGTGACACTGTGGTTCACAGCCCGCGCTCAATCCACTGAGCTACGCTAGCCAGGGAAATTTTCAACTCTTTGATATTCCCCAGGACTCGAGTATAAAAAACATAGAACCAGGACCAATTCTGGGAATATTGTGGGTCTGGTCGTGAGAATACCGGGCTCCTAGCCCAGGGCCAGGGGTCTCTCACTCTGACTTTGCATGGGAATCATTTGGGAGCTTTTTGTGTTTTTTTTTAAATTCTCACCCAAGGATATGTTTATTGATTTTCTTGATATTTCAGAGAGAGAGAGAGAGAGAGACAGAGACAGGCAGACAGAGAGAGAAATGTCGATCATTTGCCTCCTGCACACACTCCGGCCGGCCAGGGGCGGAACCTGCAACCTGGCTGTGCGCCCCGACTGGGGACCCAGCCCGCAGCCTCTCGGTACATGCGGGCGACGCTCCAACTGACTGAGCCACCCGGCCAGGGCTCACTTGGGAGCTTTTAAGAATTACTGATGTCCTGGCCACTCCCGAGAGTCCGATGGAAACGGCCCTGGTGCAGCTCAGGCACCAGGATGTTAAAAGCTCCCTGGTGATTCTGATGCATCGTGAGAAACCAACCCCCGCTGACTTGGACGGAAGAGTGGACTGTACCGGTTACACGTCACTTAAAAAATAGCGTCCATATTATACCACAGCCTCACATATACTATTTCACACGCATTATCTGACATTTTGTTCGAAACCCCTGTGGGTTCAGCTTTGACATCCCCGGATTAGAGATGAGGACATAGTAGCCTCACAGAGAGGACCACTTTGCCCGAAGTCTCACGGCTGATCAGCAACAGAGTTCAGGTGGACAATTCACTGTCCAGGTTGCACCTGGAGATCCAGCCTCCCTCTCTCCACAGTCAGGAGGCGGGGGTGGAGGGAGACGGTAAATACGTGGCCTGTGGACCATTCTGCCCCTACACCCTCAACGGGCATCACTGCTAGGTGAAGGCACTGCATTTCTCAGGGAGAACAGAACCTCAGAGGCCTTCTTCACACGTCCTAAAGCAGGGATTCGCTGGAACTGACACTTGGGGTGAAACCTCTTCGGATCCCTGAACGAAATGATGCTCAGGGGCCCTTCTAACTGTGACCTTCTGGGGCTCCCTGAGCAGGGCTGCCACTGCAGCCAGGAAGGTCAGAATGCGGGCCGGTTGCGGGATGCTTTCTGAGCCCGCTTCCCCCAGCCACTGCCCCAGAGATTCCAGAATGTGCTTGGCTCCTCCCAGCAGCTCCCATAAGGGTAGCACAGGTTAGTGGTTAAAAGCAGAGGTGCTGGTGACAGCCAGGTGTGGGCTCAATTTCTGGGATAAGTTTGCAAAACACTCGGTTTGCAGCCTTGTACATAACAGGTGCCCAACAAATGACCGCTGAAGCCAAAAAATGAATTAATAGAAATTAATAAGTATACAAAAAGGCAGGCCACGAAGGCAGGCCCCTTACACCAGCCCTCGCCAGCCCCATCCTTTGACATGTCTCTCTTCACCCTTCCTGCCTTTTCTCCCCCACTCTCCACCTCCCTCCTGCTTCTTATACTTAGATGGACCTGCCCCTGGCCCTCCCTGAGCCGGGACTCAGGGGTGGCTCTCTGTCAACACCAGGCTGTGCTTGGTCAGTGCCTAGTACCCAGACCAAAGTACTCACAGCCTTTATTGAACAGTTATTATGTGCTGAGCGTGTGGCAGAGATCAACCCATGAACCTTCAGAACCACCTTACCAGGTACATGCTGTTATCTCTACTTTGTGCATGATGACACAGGACCAGAGAGGTGTAGTAACTTGCCCAAAGTCACACAGCCAAGAAGTGGTCATCCTCTGGTTAGCAGACACAGAGACCCACGGACAAGGGCTGTTTCACACGGAAACTCAAAGCCCTTCCCAGGCAGAGCTACGGCTTCCCCAATACCCCTGCCGTGCCTGGAAGAGGGCTTCACACCCCATGGGCACCTCACCTGAGACTTGCAAAACCCCAGGGACTTCTTGCCTGTGTGGTGAGATGATGGATGTGGGCTTCGAAGTGAGAAAACCCTGGGCTGTGACCCCCGATCAGCCCACTGAAAAAGATCTGTGTGACCTTGGGCAAGTGATGTCTCTCCTCTCCGAGCCCTGGTTTTCCTACCTGGGAAAAGGTATCAACATCTTCCCGGGGTGGCTGTGCAGGGTTAAACAGACACAGAGCACCTGACAAACCCCCTGGCACCGGGTGGGTGGCCAAGAGAACGTCTGTGGCCACCGGAACCTCCACCAAGTGCCTGGCCCACAGCCGGCACTCCACACATGGCTGCTGGGAAAGTGAGCTTGGGAAGTGCGTTAGGACATGGCACTGTTGAGCCAACGTCTGTGAACAGAGTGAAAACAGAGCAGCCACGGAACCGACGCCATTGACGTAAATGCAGATGAGACACTGACAAACAGCAGTCGATACTCGAAAAACGTCTTCAGAGTGAACATAGTTATCAGACCTCTGCGTACAGCAGAGTTGCTCGTCAGTGAGGGTCTGTGGTGAGGTCCCTGCACAGAGTCAGTGTTCAAGGAAGGCTTGCAGTGATCTAAATGGAGGGAAGGTACCAGGCACATAGTAGGTACTTGATAAATGCCCATTATTGAATAGAGACAGGTGTGATACCCAAGACATGATGCTCTGGAAACATTTGTGGGATATAAGCAAAAGGAAGGTACCGAGCACATAGTAGGTCTCAATAAACATGGTCGGGTGAGCGGAGCAGCACATAGTAGGTGCTCAGGAAGGGTATTCCCATGCCCTCCCAGGGTGCTCTTTTGAGCCCAGGCAGCCTCCTCACCTTTGTTGTAGAGGGAGCCATCGAAGTAGTAGCTGCCGGTGTAGAAGCCGGTGGCCAGCTCGATGAGGTGGCGAGCCCACGTGTTGCCGGCGCCTGGGAAGCTGGCCAGAGCGATGAGCTGCTTGGACTTGGCTGGGAGGAACCTTCTGTCCATGCAGCGGTTGTCTGCAAAGGGTAGGGCACGGTCAGGGTCAGGGTCAGACAAAACCTGGGTGTGAGTCTCATGCATGCTGCTTCTCGGCCTTTCAACCCAGTGCACGTGATGGAACCTCTTCTGGGCCTCAGTTTCCCCATCTGTAAAATGGGGGAAATGGTTCCTCCCTTATGAGTTGATAACAAGGGTTGGTGAGATGATGGGATTAGCACATAGTAGGGATTCAATAGAACTCAGCTAGGAGAATGAGTCCTCTCTACTGCCTCAGTTTCCCCCATCGCTGTAAGTCACTTTCTCCTGTCCCCAACTTTCCTCCAGATTAACCCCCTGAAATGGTGTCCATCTACGCGCGAGCCAGTCCAAGGTTCTTGCTTCGGCCTCCAGGCCCTGTGTGGTCCGGCCCTTGCATCCTCCCAGGCTCATCCCAGCCATTCACCCGCTCCCCCTCCCGCCCCCACCTGCCAGCCCCCTGCTGTCCCCTCACCTGTGCTCTGCTCCTTCCCCACTCAGCGCCTTCAGGCAGCTGTGCCCTCACCTGCCCTCGCCAGGGGGACTGCTTCCCATCCTCCCACTCTCTGCTGAGTTGGTGCTCCTTCCTCTCCTGACCCTTGGGCTATCGCTAGTGGACTGTGTCCATCCCCTTCATGTCACTTATCACAGCAGTAATTAAAAAATTATTTGTTTGGTCAGAAACCCTGCCATACTGTGCTTTGATGATTCCCCAGTACTTTCCACAGTAGCTGGCATATAGCAGAGATAGTAAATGTTTTCTGGATGGATGGATGGATGGATGGATGGATGGATGGGTAGCTGGATGGATGGACAGATGGATGGATGGAGAGATGGGTACATGGATAGATGGGGTGGTGAATGGTTGGTTAGATGGATGGATGGATAGGTGGATGGATGGACAGATGGACGGATGGATGAGTACATGGATAGATGGGGTGGTGAATGGGTGGTTAGATGGATGGATGGATAGGTGGGTGGATGAATGGGCAGGTGACAGCTGGGTGGGTAGCTGGATGCAACAGTGATTGGATGGATAGGTGGGTAAGAATAGTATCTACATTGTACGGATCTTGTAAGAATTCAACGGAATAATGCATGTAATGTATTCACACACTACAGTGCTCAAAAGGGGTGGTAGTTATTTCTATCTGGCCCTCAACTTCCACATCTGTAAAATGGGCTGGGACAGGTGAGCACCATTCTGCATTCTGATCCTCTTGACTCTCCGCCTCTGCCGTCAGAGCCCGTGGGAAGGGTGCACCTCGGCATCTCCCGGGCAGCCCCTCCCGGAGCCAGAAGGCACAGTGGCGGTCAGCTGAGGGGGCGGCCAGCATAGGGGGCTTTGCGGTGGACAAGGAACAGGAGAGAATCCTGGAGTTTCAGTCTCAGTCTTGCTTTTTCACTTTGGGCCACTGACCTCCGTCGTTATTGAGCATGAAGTGGGCGCAGGCGAACCTCCCTCCCCTGCTCCGGCTTCCACACCCCTGACCTCACAAGGCTGCTCTGCCTCCACCCTCTCTTCCTCCCCTGCCCCTCACATGCAAGAGGGGGCTGTGCCCTGCTCTAGCATCCCCACCCCATTTTCACCCCCTCCCTGGTCTCCTTGCTCCATTGGTTCCCCTCATCTCCTTTCCCTCCCTCTCAGCGGGCCCCATCGCGTGAGCAGGCAGACATGAGCAAAGGGCTCCATCACCGAAAACCCTGCCCCAGCAACCATCCTCCCCTCGCCCCTTTCCCACTCACACGGCTGGCCGAGCTGTCCACGCCCCCACTCCGTTTCCTGCCATAGTCACCAGGGACCTTCAGTCCGGCCCCCCCTCGCTGGGCCACTCAGCACATCCAATAGCACCCATTACTCTGCCCTCCTTACAGTTCCCTCCAGGGTGGTACCCCGATACTTCCTGCTCTGTGTCATCTGTCGCTACTGGAATCCTACTTTGATTACGCCGATTTCTCACAGCAGTCTTTCAGGGGAGCAGTTAAAACTTCTAGATTTAACTTCCAATACCGCCACTACTTGCTGGGAGACCTCAGAAGCAGGATGGGTCTGAGCCTCAGTTTCCTCACCTATGAAATGGGACTGTGGAATGGTCAGCGTCCTGGGGCTCTTAGGAGGGTTAAATGCGAGAAAGCGCATTGAGTGTTAGCACGGGGCTCCCAGTGGGAGCGCCAAGCGACGGCGGCTGCCCACCAAGGGCCCCGGCCCCCTCCCACTGTGCCCCCTGTCTGCTCGGGGAGAACAGGCTTCCAGAGAAGTAAACCAAGTCCTCTCTGTCGAAGGCAAGTGGGCGTCTGGGGATGGCGTTGACGGGAACACGCCGCGAGAAGGAGCCTAGATGCGCAGAGTCCTGCGGGACGGTTCTGGTGAGCATTTGATGAGGCTGCGGATTACTCAGATGTCACTGAACAATGCAGCTCAAGTCCGTGCAGCCGGCTCTGTGTAAATGCGACTTCAGGAAATCATAAGCAAACAGTGAATGATAATTAACGGCACACGCGCTGAAGAGGGATGATGTTCATAACTTACTTCGAAGCGCTGCCAAAGAGTGAGGACGGAGAAACGGAGGGACAGAAAAGGGGATGTAGCAAAACGTTGACACATGTCAAATCTATGGGACAAGCACGCGAGTGGTCACTGTGTAATTCTTTCTGATTTTTCTGGAGGTTTCGCGTTTTGTCATAGTCACATGCTGGGAATGAGGAAGACGCTAGGCCCTCAATGTCCCTGGAAAACAGGATTCTCCTTTCCAACACTGCCCGGGAGGCCAAAGCCAACTCCAGGGTAAGAGCTGTTGTTCTCAGCGCTAAAAAAAGAAAGTTAAGTTGGCTCTTAAGCTCCGCAAACCAAAGCAGTGCCAGAGGCAGTATTTTGTGCAGCTTTGGCATCAGACAGACCCGGGTTTCAATCCAGGGTTGTCACGGCCTAGCTGTGTGGCATTGGGCAAGGCACTTCACCTCTCTGAGCCTCAGTTTCCTCGCCTGTACAATGGGGCTAGTGAACTTTACAGGATTAAGTGAGTAACACATGTGAGGTATTTGCAATGTATGTTGAGATGCTGTGGTTACGAGTGAAATCTTGGGACCCAGATTGCCTGGATCTGAATCCCAACTCTGCCCTACCTTCGCTGTGTGACGCTGGCTGAGCTACTTAACCTCTCTGTGCCGAGCTGCCTCATTTGTAACATGATAACAATAACAGCTCCTCTATCACTGGACTATCGTGAGAATTAGATGAGTTAATTCAGTCTAAGTAGTTTAGACAGTACATGGTACACAGTAGGTGCTCCATAATTATTTTGTTTCCCCCAAGAACATCAGGACTTAGCACACAGGAGGTGCTCAATAAAGGCAGCCACAGTGCACCAGGTTCTTGCAGTCTGATGATGTCACATGACCCCCAAACCTCCCAGTGCGAGGCCCTGGCCGGGTAGCTCAGGGGGTAGAGCATTATCCCCACTAGGCCAAGGGTGCAGGTTAGATCCCCCGCCAGGAGGGCACACGCAAGAATCAACCACTACCGAATGCACCAATAAGCGAAAGAGCAAATCGAAGTTTCTCCCCCTCTCTCTCCCCCTCTCCCCCTCTTTCCCTCTCTCTCCCTTCCACGTCCCCAGTGCAAAGCCTGACACAGAAAAACTGAAGGTCAGCGATGACCTGGGGGCAGGGCCCTGGGACCGAGCAGACCCACTGATGAGGGCCTGGTTCTCCGCTATTGACAGGGCTGCAGTGTCTGTTTTATCCGCATCAAACGGGTCACGGGATAATTACTCTGTGCGGGACCCTCCCCTCAGGCTGGGACAACCCAGTTCCCAGCCTCACAGACCCAGCGACACTTCTGGAAGCCCAGGAACACCGCTGCTTCCTTGCCGCAGGGGGAACAGAGCCCAGGGCCACGCCTGCTAAACAAGGCCCCACCGCTCTTTGGGATTGTAACCACCTGGGAAGCAGCCACGAGGGCCCATCACTGGGATGCCCCTCAGGCCAAACAGGGGATGGGCTATGGGGGCGGTCTCTAGGTCTTACAGCACGTTTGTGAGAATCAGAAGGAGCCGCCTCCTTCCCAGGTGGATGTGCTGCCGTGTCTAGGGTGCCCCGAGTGACGGGCAGAGCACGGCCGGCCTTTGGGCACCTCTTTCCCTGCAGGCTGTGCCTGTGCAGTGCTTGGCCTGCCCAGCCGTGTGCGCGGCCGCCTGGTTTCTGGGGGCGAAAAGGCGGTCCAGCCCCGTGGGGTTTTGCTGGCTCTCCGGGCTTCAGAGGGCGTGGGGAGTGTCCTCTGCGCTATGGGCAGGGGTCGGTAGCAGGGGCAGTGGAGCCGGAGACCTGAAGGCGAATCGCCCTCGTGGATGTGTTACTGTGGCCGGTGCCCACCGCCGTGTGCTCCTGCCCCCTGTGAACGCGAGCGACATCGCCCCGGTCCTAGGCTGACTGTGGGCTTCGCAGCACCGGTGAGGCGAGGCTGGGCATGGGCCCCGGGGCACGGTCCACGGTCAGTGTGTTCAGATCCTGGGGTACTCCTTCGGGGTTCCCTTTGGGCTGAGGGTCCTGACAAGGCACCTCTAAAGGGCCCCCCACGTTTTGTGATGTTCCCATCAGGAGAGAAGAGTTTCATCTAGACACTTTATAAACAGCCTGACCTCAGGCAAGTCCCTTAACTGTTCTGGGCCTCAGTTTCCCTCCCTGTAAAGTGGGCATAATGGTGGCTCCCACGCAATAGGAGGGCCGAGGGGGAAAAGCAAACAGAGGGCTCCACACATGCTTGGTGTGGACAGAGAGCCCTCAGAGGCAGCTCTTGAGAAACCCTAGATGCCACCACCACCACCAGTGCCAGCGCCATCATTATTGCGGTCTGGTGGCCCCAAGAGACAGAGGAGGAGATGGGCAGTGAGTGTGGGTTCCACCAGCAAAGGAAGGACAGAAGCGGGAAGGGGGACTGAGCGAGAGAAAGAAAAAAAGAACTTACAGGTGCATTTACAGAATCCTGGAATTGGAAGGGCCCTTGGAAGTCAACAATTCACAGGCACAATTCAGAGGGAGACACTGAGGCCCGGAGAGGGGAAGCAACTTGCCCGGGACCGTGCAGTGGGTGGGTCTACGCTGGAGACCCAGGTCCCCCCCTCCCAGCCCAGATGTCTTTCCACGCAGTGTCACCGCCTCCGTTTCAAGAAAAGAGCCACCAAGGGGGGGCTCAGTATGAGGGGGACCGTTGAGGGTCCTTAGAACCCACACCCTCTTGCCTGGGACCCTCTGTCGCCCATCCAGGGTCTCTAAGTCTGGCCAAGTTCGCCGGCTCGGCCCTCTGCCCTCCGCCCTCCAGCCTGCGCGGTCTGGGCGGTGTGACATGGACTGACCAGGGCACCTCTGGGCGGGAGGACAGCACCTGGGGGCCTGTGGGGGCGGCCTGGCCTACCTTGGACCTGCGTCTGGTACACGACGAAGTAGCTGGCAGTCCCGCAGCTCTCGAACTCCTCCGCGCTGCACTTCTGGGCACAGAGCTGCTCATCCTCCCTCTCGTGCAGGGGGAACCGCGTGGTGGGGAACCCACAGTGGCAGGCGGTGCCCGCCAGCGCCGCCAGCGGGTACTCCTGGGGGTGGACGGGGAGAACAAGAGGAAGAAGAAGAACACCGCTCAGTCCCCAGACAGCCAGACGGTGACCGTAGGGCAGCAGTTGTATCATTCCCTTCCTTGTCGCTCCCCCCAACCTGAGGGTCCCCAGACTTCACCCGCGAACCCAGCTTTCACCATTTGGCCCCATCGCCGTAGCTTCTGCATTATTGTTTTCTTCCTGTTTCAGCGAGGTATAATTGACAACCAAAAACTGTGTACATTTAAAACAGGGGTGTCAAACTCATTGTCACCGGGGGCCACATCAGCCTCGCGGTTGCCTTCAAAGGGCCGCATGTAGAGCTCCTGACCCCTAGGTAAGGAGCAGTCACTTTCATACTGTCCTGAAATTACATTCGGCCCTTTGAAGGCAACGTCGGGCTGATGTGGCCCCCGGTGACAATGAGTTTGACACCCCTGGTTTAAGGTGTACAACTTGCTATCTTGATAAATGTATACACGGCAAATTAACCGGCACCATTAAGCTAATTAACATGCATGTCGCCTCACGCAGTGACCGTCTCCTTCTCTGTCCCCTGTGCTACATTCATTGACTTGTTTCCTCCAGGTCCACTCGCCTTTTGGGACTTCACTTTCCGAGGAAACTTTGTGTCGCTCCCACAAGGAGCACCTGGGGACAAGTATTGCACCTTGGTCATTTCCATACTATCCATGCAAATACTATAGACACACAACAGTGTAATTAAATTCTAACTAAGGCACTCCGCCTGCCAAGACCAAGCCCCGTGTCAGCTCCTTTCTTCCTGCGAGAGGGAGATTAGTTGCGGGAGGAGAGGTGTTAAAGACACTTTGGCACTGAGATGAGCTTTCCGCTGGAGGACTTGAAAGAAACTGGAAGACGAATGCCTTTCTCACGGCGTGTGACCCCCACGGTCAACACCCCCGGCCTGACAGCGAGACGAAACCCACGCCTTGGGAAGAGCTGTCTGAAACCATTCTTTTAGGCTAAAGAGGATGCTGGGACCTTGGCACACCGCAGTCTCTGTTGGGAGAGAGGCTCCTAATTGCTTTATTTGTTCTGTGGAACAGCTAAGTGGCAGCAGGAGGGACCTGAGATCCAGAGGGCAGGGGACTGTCCTTGGTCCAGTCTGCCTCTAGCCAAGACCCACAGGCCTGCATTTCCCCCAGAGCTGCTCCTGGAATAATCTGGTAACAAGCCAAGGTCGCCCTTATATGGCTGGGCCCCGTGAGTTTTGCCAGAGTAGGTTTGGTGTCTTGTTTAGCAGGTGTTAAATATGAACTGTAGCTCCTAGCCGAAGAGGGGGGGGTGGGTGGAGGGAGGTAGGGAGGGGAGGGGAGGGAAGGGGAGGGGAGTGGGAGGAGCAGAGGAGGTGGGTCAGCTTGGGCCCTGACCAAGGATGCTTTCTTACTGCTGCGACACACTGGAGTCTCCTGTGACTCTGTAATCCTCAGACCCTCCACCCTGGGCACAGCAGCCCTGCTCCCCCGCCCACATTCGGTGGACTGACCACTCCACGTCTCTCCTTGGCCCCTGAGGAGACCGGAGAAAGCTGGAAGGGGGCGCTCTGCAGAGGGGCCTTCCTGCCCGCCCACAGCCCCTCCGGTCCTGCACGCGGCAGGGCCTTCTGACCCTTCGTTACACTGGTCTGCCCTGCGACCTCACTGTCCCACGTGTGTTTGTCCCCCACCTCCGGCTGATCTGTAGGGTCCTTCAGGGCCTCAGGGACAAGGGATGCCCAGCAGAGGGCTGGGGAGGGGGATGCTGTGGTGGGTGGTGGAGGAATTCCTGCCCAAGACAGTGAGCTGGACCTTATGATGGTCAAACCTTTAATCTCATGAACTTCGCCCCCACTTTCCAGGGCGCCTCTTAGGAGCAGAGCAAGGGCTCAGGAGATGCTTGGTGGCCTGATGTCACCGGCTGCCCTTGAATGGCTCTTGGAGCCTCTCTGCGGGTCTCTGGGGTGGCTCAGGAATGAAGAGCATGGATTTGGTCCCAGGAGGCGGTCCCAGCCCTGCCCCATGCTGGTGCTGTGAGCTTGGGCGAGTGACTTCACCTGTCTGAGCTTTGGTGTTGCCATCTGCCACATGGGGATGAACACCCCCAGCCCCTGGTCTTGTTGTGAGAAAACAGTGACCCGCGGGGCAGAGGGCGGGCTGAGCAGGTGCTCAGTGCACAGCCGCCTCCGAGACACCATGGCCTCTCCGTCTTCTCAAGAGGGGCTTCGTGGGGTGGGAGCCTCTGGGACAGTGACAACTTGGAACAGGCGGGGGCGTTCAGGAGTCGGGGTGTGGGCTCAGCACCCAGGAGGGGCCACAGGCAGACCCCCAGCAAATGCCAGCATCCTGAGGATAGAGGCTGCAACCTGGATGACTCTGCATCCCCAGCGCTGAGCACAGGGTCTGTGACAAAGTAGGTCCTCATTAAACACTTGCTGAGTGAGTGAATGAAATGGGCCACGGTGTGGTGGGGGAGGGGCTGCTCTCCTTTGGACCCTCCTGTACTTAGCTCATCTTGAGTGAGGAAGGGGGCTCCTCAGACATCACGGCCGGTGACGTGCCTTGCTCTGTGCTGGGAATTAGGGGGTGGGGCACAAGGTGTTTAAGGCCCCACCCCCACTCCCCGTGGAGTTCACTGTCTGGCGAGAGAGGAAGAGCACACAGTTGATCATCAGGGATCTTCTGCTGAGAAAGACCCCACAGATCATCCGGGCCAACGGCTCTCCAGTGCTCAAAGTTCTGGGTGCCATGCCTGCCCTTCCCGGCTTGAACACCTCCAGTGATGGGGACCTCACTCTGACCCAAGGTGGGATGGTCTTCGCCTTTACCTGGCCATCTTCTACTCATGCTTTTAGACCCAGTTCAAACATCACCTTCATTCCTGGGTGTTCCTCACCATTGGAACAAACGCACTTCCTCAGAGGGCGAGAACTCCTACCCCTCGGACCTACAGGACATGAGACGCCCCTCTCCCATGTCACAGATCTCAGCCGTGACCTCCCTGTCCAGCCAGGCACCCTGCTCCTCCAGCCACTCCACGCTGCACCCCTGGGGTCCCCGTCTCACCTTCTCCGTGCAGAAGTCCACGCACTTGTCCACGGACATGTTCGGCATGGCGGCCGTCACGGGCAAGGCCAGGGAGAGGTTGTCGGGCCTGCGGAAGCAGCCTCGGAAGACGGCGCTTCCATCTGGAGGGCCAGAGGGAGAGGGCGTCGTCAGATCGAGGCTGGGGGAACCACCTTCCGACGGCGGCACTTTACACTCAGGCCCAGAGAAGGCAAGAGTCTTGCCCAAGATCACACAGTGAATGAAATGGAGGTGAGTGAGCGAGCTGAGTCAATGTTCTCCTCCATCCTGGTGTTTCTGTTGGCAGTCCGGGCCCCTGAGCTGCTGGGCCACAGTGTCCCCCATTCAGGGAGCCGAGAGGTGCCTGGAGGACTGACGTGATCTCATCACGTCAGTGATGGCGGAGAGGGCGGAGCACCTGACGACGGAGGGAACACCCTGCCCTGCTCGCAGCCCCAGGGTGGCCCTCCGCTCCCCTCATCCTAGGCTTTAGGGGGCACCCTCTGGGCCTCGGGAGTCTGCTGAGCACCTGCGGGCTCCCAGGGACTGATGTGTGGGAGGGACTCCCTTTGAAATAACCCAAGCTGGAAATATACCAATTGGTTGACTTTATGGAGATTTCCTTCAAAGAAGTGGGTGGGTCTCGCCCAATCAGTTGAAGGCCCTAGGAGCCAAAGCGGAGGTTTCCCAGAGCAAAAGGGTTTCTGTGTCTGGACTGCAGTGTCCACCCTTGCCTGTGTGGCCAGCCCACTGACCGGCCCTACAGCTTCCGGGCCTGCCAGCTCCCCGTCATGTGAGTCTGCTCTTTAAATAAATGTAAACCTCTCCACTGTCTCTCCCTCTGTCTGCCCGCCTGTCCTTCTACCTAACGTCCTTCTGGTTCTGTTTCTCTGGAAAACCACCGACTGGCAAGAGTAGGATTACAGGCGATTTTCATTCTCATCATTTTCTGAAGCTTTTCTTTTTCTATGGTGAACGTGTATTTTTTAAGGTAATAAAGACAAACTGCAAAAAAAGTGGCCCTCCTGTCGAATTTATGGAAAGGCTCCTGAGGCCCATTTGAAACGGGCTCCGTTGCTCTCAGAGGGGGGTCGTACCCACCTCTCCAGAAGCACAGCTTTCGCGTAAAACAACGGGCGCTGTTGGCGCAGCGTGCGTCAAAACCAGGAGCACCAAGCAGGCACGTTTATTGAGCACCTACTATGCGTGACCCACTCTGCTGAGACCTTACCAAACATCACTGACCTTCCTGAAAACTCTGCAAGGTCTGCAGTCCACTCTCGCTTCACAGACGAGAGAGGCGGGGCTTCGAGAGGGGACGTTATGTGACAAACCTGAGTCCCTGCCACTTGCAAAAAACCCGCTGGACAAACTGTTAACCCTCGGAAACAAGTGCAGTGAGTTGCAAAACCATATACCTCTCTCCATCCTGTGTCTGGGTGCCTGTATAGTGTAAAGCACGTTTTTAGCATGTGCATTCCCATCATACGCGTGTGCAGAATAAAGGATAAGGGATTTCTAAGAAATTACTGCCCTGGGCAGAAAGATAGGGGAGGAGAGGGAGTTTAGGGAGGATAATTTTAAACTCCAGCTGTCAAAGGCATCCTAGCGATTATTCCTACCACCTGGCCCCCAGTAGCCTGAAGTGGTTCACTGTGGAGGCCAATCTAGCAAAGACATCTGGAACTGGGCTAAGCGGCTGATTTCCAGAACATGCTGGAGGCTTCACACATCCAAAGCTATCTCCTCCACTTCCCCCACGCCCGGCTCCAGGCTGGTGAGAGGTGGAGGTGGTGGTTGGGGTGGTCAGGGTGTGGCTGACTCAGTTTCCCACATATGAATGGCAGGGCGTGGGGGTTGGGCTACACAGTGATTCTCTTCCATACAGGACAGCTCTCCACTCTCCCCCAGATGAGGAGCCATCCCACCCAGAATGCCACTCATGACCCGGGAAGGGGGGACACGGGACAGTCTCCTGTCTCACGGCCTAGGATGCTCAGAGGGAGGCCCTATACATTCATCAGTCATCCTGAGGATCAGTGCCCCCAAGGAAGAGGTAAGGCTGCTCAGAGAAGGCACCACGCAGAGCGAGGGTGGGGAGGTGGGAAGCCCGAAGCAGCGCTGGTGAACCTCCACGAAGCCCCAAGTCTCAGCTGGATGCCAACAGCGGCCACCGGGTGATGCGACACCAGCCTCGCTCTCAGAAGACCAGCCTCCTGGCAGGCAGGAGCTCTGGTGCCTCCCCGGCTTCTCGTCCTCCCAGTGTCCACCGCGGCAGCCCCTCCCTTCCTCACATTTGGACCTTGGGCACGGGTTTTCTCTGCTGTTGGAGCTCCGGTGTTCTCACCTCTAGAATGGAGCCGTGAACACTGAACAGTATGCTCGGAGACGGACTTGAACCGGCCTCGGGAGCTGCGAGCACAGCGGAGTGGCAGGCAAAGGTCTGTGACTCCGTCCCCTGGCCTGCTGCCCTCAGACTCCAAGGAGAAGGAAGGGGAGGAGGAAGTGAGACCCTGCTCCAGCCTCTCCCCACGGGATTTCTCTCCTGCCCACCCAGATGGCAGAGGCCAGGCTGCCAGGGTGGGGAGGAAGGAAGTCTCTTAGGCCCAGCTCTGCTGTGGTGGGTCCTCCTTCGGCATTTAAGCGTCTGCTGAGAAGTCCCTGACCCTCCCAGTTCAGAGAAGAGGGCTGAGCGGAGTGCTCTGAATGCCAAATAAGGTGAGGTTTTCAGAAGTCTTAAAGGGCCAGAGACGGGGCGGGGGGAGGGGGGGGGATCAGGAGCTACGGCTGTGGAGTCTCTCTTTGGTCAAGGTGTGTGCTGGGGTGGGGAAGGGAACAGGTTTGGGAAGCTGGTTCCAGGAGCGGTTAACCTGTTGGCTGTGGGACCTTCCTATAGTCCCGCCTGTGTCTGCCGTTGGGAGGAAACCGCCTGATTGCGGAGGCTTCAGGGTGTCCAGCAGAAAGGCTGGACTCCTGGGGATCAGGGCAACACGATGAAGGCCACTTCTCTCTGCAGGTCGCCCTCCGTTATGGCTTGGTGGTCAGGACACTGAGCATATGCATGGCAGTCAGGACGCCGAATCCTCCTTCTCCCCTCACTTCCTCCATCTGTAAGATGGGTCCCCTGGTTCTCCCCACCAGTGTGAGAGGCCCCCTCATCTCCCATGGTGGCAAACAAAGGAGAAGCGGCCAGCCTGGATCCCTTGACCTTCCCAGCTAACACTGTCTCTGATAGAATGTACAACTTCCACTGCAGTGAGCAGACTGCTTGCTGTTGGCAACAGCTCTGCTGCCCAGTGGAAAGGGCGTTGGTTTTAAATTCAGACCGACCCTGGGTGAGCCACTTACTCAGCTCTGTGTCCCTGGCAGGTGTCTTCACCTCCTGAGCCTCGTTTTCCTCATCTGTAAACAAGGATCATCATATCTACCCTGCACAGTGGGGCTGGAAGGACATCGCTCGGACCCAACCAGGACTCAGTCAGCACCTCTTCCTACTTCTTTCTCCACGGCTTGTTTGTGAGGTGTGGAGGGCGGCCAGCTCCTACGCAGCAGATGCCAGCAGAGCCCCAGCAGCATGCCCCTGGCACTCACTGTCCCTGTGCAGGCTGACAGTGACCTTCAGCACCCACCCAGGACCTGGCCTTAGGGCCTGTAGGGAGTCGATCACCCTGGCAGCCACCCTCAGCTGGTGATGACAAAGAGAAGATAAATACTGCAGGCTTCTGCTCCCCACGAGGGATACTTCTGGAGCACAGTCTCCACCATCTGCCAGGGTTTCCCAGTGGGACGAAGCTTCAGTTGTCTTTAGTAGTGACCTTGAATTGGCTTCTTCCCTCCCCTGTCTCACTTCCCCACTCCCCTACGGGTGCATCCTGGGGTCACCTCTCAAGCACACCAAGGTCCACATCCTTGTCTCTAGGGCAGCCCAACCAACATCTTGGGTCTTCGGGCATTTTTTAACCCACGAGGGAAATCCTGCACAGAAGTCGGGGCCACTGTTCTCCACGGCCGCCAGTCTGTCCGGCTGTGCAGTACGCAGCCCTTGGGCAATAACGGCGACCCCGAGCATTGTCTTCCTACTGACCAACACTCACTAAAGAATGACAGCAATGGTTAAAATAGCAGCTGTTCACCACGTGCCATTCATGCTAAGTGTGTTCCACACACCGTATCTCAGCTAATCCTCACCACAGCCTACCCTGGTTTGCAGGCAGAGACCCTGGGATGGAACAGGACTCATTCACTTTTCCGGGTCACACAGCCAATGAGGAACAGAGTTGGGATTTGACCCCAATCTTGCTGGACATCACATCCCCGTTTCCCACCTCTCTGCTCTTCTGCAGGGGGCCAGCCCAATTCTGCCATGCTGGAGCTCCAGAGATCCCATGCCAGCTGCCTGAAGTTCCCAGAAACCCTGTGCCCCCCCCACCCCCACAGGAGGGGCCCATGGATCACGAAAGGCCATGCCCCACATTCTGACAATGTCACCGCTTCATGGCCAGGCTAGCTGGGATGGTGCATGGCCTCAGCAGCTTGGGTTTTTTATTAGCAAGAGGTGAGCAGAGCAATTGTTTATCAACTCTCTTTGCTGGGGGCAGATAAAGAATGGCCCAGAATCAGCTGCAAGTGTCTCTGAAGTCCTATCATCTCTTTGTTCTGGGTTTTAAAAAAAAATGAGGTAAATGTCATCAGGCATTGGCTCAAAGGCGGGTGTGGAAGAGTTCTCCTTGGTGTGAAAGAGGCCACCACCCCCCAGGTAATTAGGCCAAGCTCAACTGGATTAAAGATGTAGGTGAGGAAGAAAGGCAGCGAGCTGGGAGCTGCTAACAGCTCCCTATAATCAGAGAGAGACTGAATTGCACAAAGAGCCTGTCTGAGAATTCAAACCAGCCATTTTTAGGCACCGCCGAAGGCTCCTGTGGGCTTGGGGGAGTTCAGATAGCTTGAATTGGGTGCTGTTCAGAGTGAATTGAGTTTTCATTTTAGGAAGCAGCGGCGGCGGGGTGGGTCACGACGACTCCACATCAGGTACTGCACTAGCCGCTTTCTCGATGGCACCTCACTGAGTGGGCACAGTGGTCTTGAAAGGTCAGAACTGTCCCCATTTTACAGATGAGGCCTTTGAGGCTCCAAGAGAATACACGGCTTGGCCAAAGCCAACACAGCAAGTACGTGAGACAGCTGACATAGAAGCCATGCCTGACGTCAGATTGCCCCCACAGCCTTCCTGGGTTTTGCTTAGAGGAGGGAGAACAGCTGACCAATTCTCCCCCATCATGAGGGAACAAAAGAAAAAAAACTTCTAGAACTCCTCGTTGTCATCTCCTTGGTTCTCAATAGCATAATTCATGAAGGCCCATGTGAATTATAAAATTCCGGAGTCCCAGACATACATCAAGGGTGAGGAGAGGCCTCCAGGCCTTGCAGAGGAGGAGCTAGACTGGGTCTATTCATCAAACTGTGACTTTCCGTGGTCATCAGAGGCTCTCCTCAGCAGCAGTGGTTAGCATGGAGTATCAGGGAGCATAAATCTCAAGCACTGAACAAAATTCCCCTTCTAATTTTGGAGGACAAAAAAAAATAAAATAAAAATAAAACCCTGCCAGAACTAACAATGGTAGACAAAATCCACTATGTGAATTGTGAACCATAGGTCAAGGATCTATTTCTTCCCATGATAGTGTAAGCTTCATAATACTTTCACCAAGATAGAAAAGAAAAAAAAAACAAACAACAACAATAAAACCAAGAGGAGAAAGGGCTGAGCCCTGGGAGAGGCTGGTCTGCAGTCCTGGGGGCCTCAGGCAGTCCCAAAGGGTGGTCAGCACCATGGACAGCCACCCCGCAGGCCTGACATGTCCGCGTTCTGCATAGTGCTAGCGAACCTTGCAACCCAAGTCTTGCAATAATCTTTCATGCAAATGATATTTCTTGCAACAGCCTATAAAGCCATAATGTTCTCAAATCACCAGCAGGCCTCTACCCCCAGGAGGAGAGCTACACTTGCTGACACATTTAGCAAACTGCTGTGAAAAATGTAATCCAACCAAGAAGGAAGTCCATTTCTCGGTTCCTTTGTAACAAGGGCAAAGAGTCCACGTGCCCGAGAGGCTGTGTCGAGGCAGAGCAGCAGGGAGTCTGCAGGCATTTGCGCCGCTGGCCTTTTCATTCTCTGGCTGCTGCAGGAGCACTCCGGCCCCTCCCCACGGAGGAGGGCTGTCCCCCACCCGCCCGAGCGGTGCTTGGGAGACACCCAGGATTCCTTTGAATCCTCACAATCATGGAGGGTTCTGTGCCACTGCTCAGGGGTGCACAATTACAACCCAGGGTTAAAACCAACTAATGATCCTACAAGTAGAATCTGGTTTCCCTCCTACTTGCTTCCTGCGGTGCCTGCTCCTTCCTTTGACTGATGGATTACAAGCCAGTGTCACGTGCCAGTGACTCGGAAGCCTCCCTTTCTCATTTATTTGTGTATAGATCAGACCCTAGGAACGGGAAGGCGGGGTGCCCCTGGGTCAGCACAAACACATTGGAGATTCCATATTGTTCAGAGTCAGGAAACAAGGCAGAGGAGGAATCAGGGGTCAGGGAGAAAAAGGAGTTAAACTGGAGCAAGAAATCCCCCCCTCACCCACACACACACACACACAGACAACAGTGTGGTGATGGTGGGGGGAAGGGGTGGGTGGGGGTGGAGGAGGGGGTGGGGGAGATAAATGGTGATGGGAAAAAATAAATAAATAGATTTAAAAAAATATTCTCCCAAAAGAGAATCCAGTGCAAGAGGCCCAGGGGTCTACAGCCCCATTGTGAGTGAGCTCCCAGCCAGAAGTCAGAGACCAGGGTTCCAGCCCATACTCAGTCCCTAAGAGGCACCGTGGCCTCCAAAAAGTCACGCCTGCCTGTCACTTCCGGAAATCACCTCTAGGCTTTGCACACTCTATTTTCTTTCCCTAGATCTCTCTCCTACCTCCTGGTAACTTGTCTGGAGTCCGGATAGCCTCCTCCTCTCCACCAGGCAAAATCTTATGTGTCTTTCAAGGCTCTAATCAAACAGCCGTCCTCTGGGAGCCTTCCCCAAGGAGGCTCAATTTAGCCACTTCTGCTCTCTGGGCCTCAGTTTCCAAAACGGTGAAATGGGACATCAGCAAGGAAGGTGCTTCCAACACAGCATTTGACACCTGATCTTAGCTGACCCTAGACTTTTTTGCTCACGACTAGAATGCATGGTTCCCCCCTTTCACCTTGACATCTCCTTAGTGTAAGGCTTGCCTCCTGCAGAGTGCGTCCCTGCAAACCCCTGTGTGTACCCTCTCTGCCCGAACAGAGCCCAGTGGTCCTGGGCCTGTCTCTCCACTAGACACTTTAGGGGCTGCTCGCCAGCAACCACCCAGGTCTTTGCGTGTCGACATATTTCAGCTTATTGAAAAATCTCGGATGCTCAATGAGCATGTTATAATTACAGGTGATCTTAGTAGTTCAGCCAATCTGAATGCTAACCAGAGGGACGTCTGGCTGATATCTGGCGAGTGGCACACACAGCCCCGATTTCGTTATCTGGCTCAGCCTCATCCACTAGGACGTTTCAGTGGTGGCAGCTTTCCCTCTGAATACCCACGAAGCCAAGGCCATCTCTTCAGATGGTCAAGGTCACTGTCAAAACAACATACATATTGGCATAGAGTCCAGTGATGAGGATGATAAATCTGCCATCAAATTAAAATCTCGTTACACGAGTGGCCAAACCAGGAACTCGCTGTGTGAACATTCTCCAGCGTGGATGTACACGCCACCTCTGCCAGCTGGGCTTTCAGACTTGTGGGGAGGTGGGCGGGGCATCTGTTTGCAAAAATCGGCCCCTTGGCAAACTGGCAGCCTGCTTGACCCTGCTGCAGAGCAAAGCTTGAACGAGGCTTCAGAAACACGGCACTTGAGAAACAGAACACATTATCGAGCACACCAGCGATGGAGTTTCATACACAATGGCATTCACAGGGAAGAGACCTCTCTCTGCGTGCATGCAGATGTGAAGTTCTGCCAAGCCCGAGCCCACCTTCCGGGCAGGCCTTGTCGACTCCACTGGGGCCTGAGGCCTTATTATTGATGGAAGTGTGGTCCCCAGACCAGTAGCCTAGCATCGCCCGGGAGCTCCTTAAACATGCAGAATCCCACCTGGACCCACTGAATCACAATCTGCATTTTCACAAGATCCCTGCGGGGTTCATCGGCAACCTTCAAGTCTGGGAAGCGCTGGCCCCAGGGTTAGCGATGGGTCGTGGATTCCTGTGCCTCTCCTGACAGCATCAGAAGGGTGACCAGGAGGATCCTCCAGCGCTCTTTTTATAGGTCTGAAGGTCACCTTTAATTAGACTGTGGCCTTGGGCAGGTTTACTTAAATTCACGAAGCCTCAGTTCCCTCACTGCAAAGTTTGCAGTGGGATGTTGCAAACATGGGATGTTACCCTGCCTGGATAGGCTGCAGGGAAGGTAAGTGAGGCAGATCCTGCTGTGGGCTCAGCATCAAAGACATAGGCTCTGGGGTTGGTTTACATCCTCTGCTGTTTACGCAACATTGAACCCTGGTTTCCTCATCTGTGAAATGGGAGTGGGTGGCCAACAGTGCCTATTGCCAGCATCAGTGTGCAAATCAGGTACGCTATTCTATATAAGGCACTTAGAAAAGATGCACTGTTGGCTGTTGGCACTGTTACCATCATTGTTATCATCGTTAGAGGCCATCTGTTCTCACAAAATCGGGAGGGACAGGCCACGCTCAGGCTCTGGCCCGGTTTGTTAAGGAGGAAGATGGGTGCAGATGCAGGGGTGCCTGGTCCAGGAGGCAGCTCAGGATGGGAGAGAAGAGGGCAGGTGGAGACACTCCACGTAACTGGAGCAAAGGGCTCTGCCCGAGGTGGGGTGGGAGGCTCGGGGCAGACACGCAGGTAGGTGGGCGAGGGGTGAGGAAGGAGCCGCAGCGAGGGGCAGGGGCCGACTCACGTACACCTGCGGGCCGACTCCTGGGCCAGCTGCAGCCGGTAGACGGAGAGGCGGTTGGCGCCGCCGCACAGGCTGCCGCGCTCGCCCTTGCACTCCATGTCGCACTCCGCCTCGCTCGCGTTCGCCGCCTGGATCTTGTGGCCGCAGTAGCACTCGGCGCCGAACTCCAGGCCAGCATACAGGTAACCCCTGGGGGAGGCTGCTGTCAGGCAGGCCAGGGAAGCTGCCACCATGGAGACCTCGGGGACAAGGATACTCACCCAGTGTGGACACCTGGGGGACAGGAGGGCTCTGGGGCCCATGACCCCTAGGGACCCCCAGCCTGCCTTCATCCCCGCCCGATGTCTTACACTCCCATACACCTGTGCTCACAGGCACACCACACCCATATCGACACCCACCTGTATACACCTTCAGCACGTGGCACACACACACCACACACACACACACACCCTCACATCCTGGGGCCCGCTGCCCCACCCCACTCTCTTGCTCCTCCCGGTCTGCAGCAATGAGCCAAATAAACCGCAAAGTCCAGCCCCTTGATTCCAGGAAACACCCCCAGGAATGATGTGCTATGTCCCTCGGGAGGAGCTGGAGCGAGGGGAGGAGGCAGGGACTCGTGCATCCCTTTGAAAGAGGGCAAAACTGAAGTTGCTTATCCAGCCAAGTGAAAAATTCCTTCCCCTAAAACAAAAAAATGCAGGCACCGTGGGGGTTTCACCTTTTTTTTCCCCATAATCATGGAATCTTTTCCTAAAAAGGGCTCTTCGTGGGCACCCATTCTGTAGACAGACGAACAGGGTGTCGCTGGCTCTGGCTGCCGGGGGCAGGGTGGGGGAGGGGCATAGGACGAGCCCCGTTCCGCTGTGCCACCCATGGTGGCCTCCGAGCCTTTCTCCAGAACCACGAGGGCTCCTCAGGGAGCAGCGGGCACAGCACTGGTCACACGAGGTGGAACTGGTGGGAACTGCTAGCTCACACCCTCCCTCTGAACTCCGGGGGGCCGGCTGCAGAGAGAGACCCTCCCAGACTCCTACCTCCACACACCCCGGATCTGTTGACCCTGACTTCACTGCTGTCGCTTCGGCTGGAAGGACCTCTCAACAATGAAAACAGACCACACCTCTCCACCGCCCAAAGCCCCGCCCCCCGTGGCTCCCACTGCACTCGGAAACGTCTGGGTGACTTGGCTGGGCCTGGAAACCCTTCTGTGGTTACTCTTGAAATGGGATGCCGCATCTGGGCCCCCTTCCCTGAGGGGCTAACTTCATTGGTCCAGGTGGGACCTGAGCAGCGAGAGTTTTTAAAGTTTCGTATGTGATCCTGGCCAGCGGCTCAGTTGGTTGGAGCATCATCCCATACACCAAAATGTTGCTGGTTCAGTTCCCAGTCAGGGCACATACCTAGGTTGTGCGTTCGATCCCTGGTTGGGGTGTATAGAGGAGGCAACTGATCGATGTTCCTCTCTCTTTCTCTCTCCCCCTTACTCTTTAAAAAATCAATTTAAAAATTTCCTCCAATAAGGATTAACATTTTATTTTTTAAATAATAAAGTTTCCAGCCCTGGCTGGCGTAGCTCAGTGGATTGAGCACGGGCTGGGAACCAAAGTGTCCCAGGTTCGATTCCCAGCCAGGGTACATGCATGGGTTGCAGGCCGTAACCCCCAGCAACCGCACATTGATGTTTCTCTCTCTCTCTCTATCTCCCTCCCGTCCCTCTCTAAAAATAAATAAATAAAATCTTTAAAAAAAAAATAATAAAGTTTCCTAGGTGAGGCTTCCGGTCAAGATGGTGGTGCAGGTAAATGTGGTACTCGCATCCTCCCACAATCGCATCAAAATTACAGCTCTGCCACAGGACCGCCACCCTTGAGAACCCCTGAAATCTAGCTGAAGAGCAGCCCTCTAACTAAGGGTATACAGAAGAAGCCACATGGGGACTGGCAGGGGCCGGAACCAGCTGGTCCCACACCCACGTGTGGTGGAGGAAAATCGGGGGGGACATCTCGGCTGCAGAGGTTCCCCTGAGGAGCGAGGGTCCCATCCTTGCTCGCCAGCCCTTTGGGGGCTCATCCACTCTCGGAAAGTCAGCTCCCTGCTCCAGCGCATGTTCTAACCCCAAATATCACTCTCTTCTTCTATTAAAAAACATGGTCCGTACAGGTGAGGGTCTCTCCCTGGGAGGAAAACCAGGGGTTTCTCTGCAGGGAAACCATTAATTACCCCAGAAGCCCAGGTTCCTGCTCACCTTCCCCAGGACACCTCACATGTCTCCCGCTCACAGATTCACACCTGCATGCACACGAACCCCCACTTGTGCTTCCCCATGCACAAGCACAGTTCTGGAGCCCTGCCCATGCATTCACAAGGACTCCGGCACGCACAGCCATTCGCATTTAAAGATGGCTATGTGTTGGCATTAAGCTCACAAACACAACCAAGCACGTACACTGGACCCTGCAAATTCACTCCTTGGCACAGTCTTACACAACTGCACAACTGCAAACCCCCCACAGACCAATTCCCAAACAATCCCACTCATTTGCACGCATGTGTACCCACACACACTTATGCACACACACCCTGGCAGCGCCCTTTCCTGGGGCCGCCCGCTCCCCCTCCATCACACCCCCCCACGGGAAGGGAAAGACCACCACGGGCAGGGGCCTGAGGAGGAAGGGCTGTGGGATGAATGGAGCCTGGGACGTCGGGGCCCTACCGTTCTGCACAGTTGTCCTGGCAACGGAAGACAGTCATCTTTTTGTAGTCGAAGAAGGACACGCCTCGCAGGGCCCGACTCTGGGTGTCATCCAGGTAGCAGCCGATGTACTTGGCTTTGGGGAGAGGAGAAAAGTCAGATATGGCTGGGGTCAAGGGTGAAAGGGTTACGGGAGGAAGCAGTGTGCCTGGGCTATGAGGCCTCCTTGACTTTTGGGTAGCGATTTCTTCCTCTGAGCAGAAAAGCAGACAAGAGAGACTACAAGTCACGTGCATTGGTAGAACCTGGTCCCTAAGGGCAGGGGAGGCCAGCGGAGCATGGTGGGGGGCACCCTTCTGTGGCCAGGGTGAAGGTTAAAGCCCTTGGGCTCTATTGGTGACAAGTGGGCACGCAGGACTCCAAGCCACGGTCATTCCGTAAGCACCCAGCAGAGGGGACCCACAGTAGGACAGCTCTGAAGAGTCCGACATTGGAAACGTGTTATCATTTCTACAAGAAGACGCCTTCAGATATTTTTCCTTAGGAAGAACGCTAGGCTCCAGGTCTCGGTCTCAGCTCACTTTTGTCACAGGCTGGCACTGGCCTGGCAAGTTGGGGCCGGTTCACCTCCCCGAGGCCTGGTCGTCTCCGTAGTGGGGACGAACATGCCAGCCTGACGAGGTTACAGGGGCAGGGTTTGTGTGGATGTTTCCCCCACAGTCTCGCATCAGACAGGCACGGAGCTGAGGGGAGTGGAATAGGACGCTGGCCATTCGCAGTGCTGTGTGCGGACTTCATGGTTTGCCGCGGTCGTGGGCCGGGTGGACGCTTCCATCCAGAGGGAAACTTAAGATTATGTAAAACAACCATCTGATGTTAAACTAGACACTTCATTTCCTTAAAGCAGTAAATGTGTTCCCGGGCCTCGTGGCAAATAGTAATTCTCACACACGAAAATGGCACTTTATTATTTATAAAGTCCTTTCCCATGTGTTCTTACGATTCTTATTATTAACTTGGACAGAGTTTGCTAAGTGCTTTATACAATGAACCTCCACATTGGTCCTACGAGATGAGTATTAACATCCCCATTCTATACAGAAGAGGAAACAGAGGCCCAGAGAGGTTAAGACACTCGCCCGGGGAAACACAGCTAGCACGTGTGGAGCCAGGGTCGGACCCACACGCTCTGGCCTACGTTTTGAGCTCCTGCTTGCTGCTTCTTGACTCCAGGGATGTTTGCAATGACCCACGTGAAGGCAGGGAGCCTAAGACCTGTAGCCAGCTGGTGGCAGCACGAAGGCTTAACTCCAGGTCCGTGGGACCCCACCCAGGGCTCTTCCCTCTGATCCTCTTGGAGGTAACTGGGGGTTGGACGGAGGACCCAGCCGGCCCTGGACTTCCACGGCCCTCCCAGGGAATGAGGTTGATACCACACGTTGCTTGACCGCTTTCCCTGGCCGAGTGCCACCCGCTCACACTGCGGACTGCTGGCCCCTCACACGGGGTGCGGAGCAGGGTCTAGCAAAGCTGCAGGCCCGTGACCCCGCGCCCCGCAGTGCCGCCCCGCTCAGTGCAGAGTCTGTCAGCTCTGCTGGAGATGCGCCTCAACCTCCACCACCTTGGATTTCCTGTGAAAGACAGAGGTGACTTGGTCGACTAAGAACAGTCCGTTTTTGAAAGGAAGATCACTGCCCCGGAGAGGCCACGTCAGAGGGTGACAGCTCTGGAGAAGCCCACGTCTCGTCACTGTGCTTGTTCCACAAGGTGTGTCCCTCCCGTCACAGATGGAATCATGCCCTGGGACGGGGGCATGGGTGAAGGTCACACCCGAGCTGGGAGGATGCCCGCGGGAGGTGCTGGGGAGGGGGGTCTCACTGGTTTCGGCTCAGCAGTGCCCTAGGGGACAGAGTGTCCAAGGGTGCATTGGCGGATGGCGGGGGAGGAAAGAGAGAGGGAGCAGGAGGGAGGGAGACAAAGGAGAACGGGAAGGAGGGAGGGAGGAGGGGGAAAAAGGTTATTTTGGCAGCATGGAATCCTTATCATAGATCAACAGGTGTGTGTGTGTGTGTGTGTGTGTGTGTGTGTGTACAAGAGACAGAGAGAGAGAAAGGGAGATAAAATCATCATGTTTCAAGCAAGTAGTACGTGCTATGTACGTTACTATGGGGCATGCCTAATTTTTTTAAATGCCACACTAACACCGTTCCTATTAACCCATTTTGTGGATGAGGAAACTGATCCCAGTGACTATTACAACTGTCTCCCGTGCGGCGATCTCAGTTTTGGCCTATGGTATATGTTCCGATGGGTAACCCCTCAACATGACTCCTTCCTGAATGGAATCAGAAGCTATGCGGTCTGCCCGCGTTCCTACACTCGAGTCTCTCTGGAAAGGCAGGAGGCTCAGGTGTCCCTTCCCACCACCTTACATCGGGGGAGGCTTCACCTCCCCGTGGCCCAGGGGCTTCGGGATCAAGAACAGCCACACCGACACTCGGTGCTTGGAGGGCGCTTGCAGCCCGGACACGCTGGGCTTGGACTTGGATGCGCTGTGATTTGGGGAGCGGGGGGTCTTGCCTTACAGTGGAGGCAGGTGTGTTTGGCTACGGGGCGGGAGGAAGTAGATTGTGTTAGATGAGACTTTTAATGATCAGATGAACAGGAGTGGGAGTGCATGTCACAGGCGTGCTCACGGTGGAGTGAGGGGGCGGACCACAGTGTGCTGTCCGTGCCTGCAAAGCACCCCTTCCTATTTTTCTATTAATGGACCTTACCTTGACCATGGGAGGCCACTGACCTCGGCCGGGCCAATCATTGTCGTCCCTCCCACCAGCCAGTGATTGATTGCTCTGGGGAAGGACACATGCCCATTCTTTGGATTCTTATAAATGACAGCCAGGGCAGGGGGCGGGGGGATCTGATTTCCTTGGACAGGACGCTGGCATGCTGGGAGCCCAGAGCTACCCACAGCCGCACTCCCTGGCACCGGGTAGTTCTGTGTGGAAGCAGCAGCCGGCGAAGGCAGACGCAAGGGGAGAAGAGAGTTAGAAGTCATTCATCTAGAAACCCAGCCCCTCCCACAGTTTGGAGACAAGTCCCTGTACCTCTTCTTCTTTAGCTTAAGCTGGTTTGAGACGCGTTTTGGTCCCTGGAGTGAAGTGCTGATTCCCAGGCTGAGTTGCCTGGGTCTGTCCAGCCGTGGGGGTCTAAACCAGATCCACACCCGGGCCTGCCTACCGCCCGTTGTTTCCCCCACCACACTGGGTCCCAGCCTGGTAGGAGGGCATCTCTGTCCTCCCCAGACAGACCTTCCTGGGGGCAGAATGGGGGAGGGGAGGTCCCTGGGGACAGCAGCTGGGATTCAACTGGAGGTCCACGTGCCCCGAAGCCGGGGCTTTTCCATGCTGCTCCACCCCCTTGCTGACGCTCCCCCTAGGCCAGGCATCGGGGTGACATGTCCCATGTAACAGGTGCTTGAAGACGTGTTGCGTGGCCAGATGACCCCATTTCCTCACGTAAGAGTGGGAGGGATAAAAAGATACGTGGCCCTTCATTACGCTCTGGAGACACAGGGCACGTTACATGCTGTGACCCGCTGCCTGTGCTGACCTCTCCTGAACGGGTGATGGGTGTTGAGGCAGTTTCTTCTGTGCCCTGGGCAAGGCCCAGTGACTCCCTGCTGACCCTCCAGTGCGGCTGTGACAAACACAACCACCGTCCCTGTCCCTGGAGTTCTGCCTCCCGCTGAGCTCGCCAGTGTGGTAACCACCAACCCACTTCAGCCACCTTCCTGGAGCCCCGCCCTCAGATCCTGCCCCGGTGGCAGCATCCCTCCGGCAAGGAGGGGAGGCCAGGCGGGTAAACCAGGCACAATCACAGGCCACAGGCCACTTACTAGGTTCTTAACTTCTCTCCAGACTCTGCGCTGAGCACCCTCTGTGCCCTGAGAAGTAAGGTGACGTAGGTTCTGACACTGGTTTACCCTCCTCCTCCAGCTGGATAACCTTGGGCAGCTTACTTGCTCTCTCTGTGCCTGCGTGTCCTCCCTGTAAGATGGAGTCAATAACACTGTCTACCTCGTGGGGTTGCTCTCAAAATCATCTGCTGCAAAAAATGCAAAGTGCTTTAAAAAAGTACCTGACGGTCAGGGAGCACGCAATCAATTTGCCTTATGTAATTGTCGAGACGGCCATCTAATGGTAAGTCGTTCTTTTCCGCAAGAGGAAACCGAGGCTCAGAGAGGGGAGGTGACCTACCCAAGGCTGCACAGCCGGCATGCTTCAGAACTGGGAGGCGAACACTGATTCAACAGCTCAAAGCACAGGTCTCTTTCAAGGCTGGGGGAGGTGAAGGACCTAGCAAGGGGACTGACACACTGCAGGGGCCAGCTCCACCCAGGGAGTCAGACTTCCTGCCCAGCCCCAGCCCAGCCCCGAGCCGCCCTGCCTTCCCCCTCCTGCCCCGGGATGGGCTCTGCATGCTCTGCAGCTGAAGTCCTGCACCAGCGTCACCGCACCAGGCAGCGCTGAGCCAGCACAGAGGAAAACCGAACGTGTTTAGCGGCAGGTCGGAGAAGCGTCTCGTTTCTATTAGCGTTAATCTAATATGTTGTCTTTGCGCGCTGAACTCTGAATAAGTTAATCAAGGACAGGCTGGATTTGCGTTTTCTTAATAACGGCACCTGATTCCAGAGACTGCCTGCTGAGAGCTCTGGGCTGCGGGCTCCTTTCTTATTTCCTCTTCCTTCTCTCTCTTTACATTTGATAAAATATGTAAGATTTCCAGGGACGGGCGGGTTATCTCGGTATAGAAGGCAGCTCACAGGCTTTGGAGTCAAATGAACCTCGTTTCAAACCCCAGTCCCTCCAGCTGCTGCCTGTGCAACCTGGGGCGAGTGACTTCTCTCTGAGTTTTAATTTTTTCCGTCTGTGAAATAGGATCACAACAAGTCTGACTTTTTGAGTTGCTATGGTCGTTGAATAAGGCAATGAAACACAGTCATTCAGTAGATATTAGCTATCATTACTACAACTAATAAAAACAGCAACTATGAAGTGACCAGTTATTATGAGCCGGAGGTGTGATGAGCCCTTGGCACGCACTGTCACACTGAAACGGCACAGTGGCCGGTGAATGAGTGCTCACGAAATGGTGATAATCACGCTGGTGGTGGCACTGGCATCTCATCCTCCTAACAAGTGGGGGAGGGGTTGTTATTAGTGTCATATGCTGTGACAAGTACCCTACATGCCAGGAGGAATCCGTGTTGTATCAGGGGACCGTGACAAACCACAGGCCATCGCCGTTCCCATAAAGGCCCCGACAAGGAGCCCAGAGGAGGAGCATTTGATCAAGTCTCGGGGTGGGGGAGGGGGTCGGGGGCAATTTCCCGCAGGTGAGCTAAGTGAGGGTGGCGCTGACCCTTGGAGGTGCTCTGGGCTGAGGGGTGGTCATTCCTTCATCTGTCCACTCGGCCACTCATTGGCCCACAAGCAGGCACTGAGCACCACCTTCGTGACAGGGCTGTGCCCGGGGCTGGTGGAACAGAGGTGACCTAGACAGGCGGCTCCCTGGCCTTCCTGGAGCTGACGGTCTGGTGCAGGAGGCGGATTCTGAACGAGGGAGGGGACGCTGCCCGCAGGCGGGGAGACGCGCCGGGACAAACACAAACCCAGGGGCATGGCTGTGGTGAGCTTTGAGGTGGGGTTCCTTTAGTTCAGACGGCCCAGGAAGGCCTCCGTGGGGAGCTGAGGTTTGACGGGGGACCTGAAGGGAAGGAGCAAGGGAGCCATGCAGAGCTCCAGTGGGAGAGCATCCCGGATGAGAGGGCCTGCCTACACAAAGATCCCGAGGTGCAGAGGGGCTGGATGCGCTCAGTGAACAGCAGGAAGACCAGTGGGGCAGGGTGCAGTGAGAGGGGTGGGGGCGTTACCAGGTGAGTTACAGAGCTGGGCCGAGGCAGGGGCTCTGGGGTTTATCCTGAGCACGATGGGAGCACACACTAAGGGGCAGGCTTGCGACCACCCCTGGGGCCTGCAAAGTGCCAGAGGAGGTTCAGAGTGGCCGGGCGTGATGGAGCCCGGCGAGTGGAGGTGGCGGAGAGAGAGAAGCCACGTCACACTTTTTCCACCCATGTAGCTCCTCACACCTCCCTAGTGTCTACAGGATGGGGTCGTTTCCCAGGGTGGACCCTGGAGACCTTCCTGATCACCTCTAAGAACCTACTAGGTGCCAGGCATCGTGCTAGGTATTTGCGTAACCATCATCTTCCTGAACTTGCAGGAGACTCCTGGAAGAGAAGAGCCATTATTCCCATTTCACAGATGCCAAAACTGAGGCTGGATGAGGTGAAGCCGCTTGCCCCTGGGCCACTCGGCTGGCTGCAGTGGAGCTAGAGTATGAATCGAAGTCCCCTAATATGTTCTGCCACTTCCCACTCTGCCGTCGCCTCCCTGTGAACACTGGGTTCTGGGAGTGGCCGAATTCTAGGCGATTCCTGTGGGCGGAAGCAAGAGCTTGTGGGCGGCTCCGGAGCCAGGAGCAAGGCGGACTGAAGCAGGTGAGCGTGCTCCCCAGGAGGAGTCCCCTCCGTTAGCCCCGCTTCTCTCCATGGTGGGAGAAGGGGTTTGCCACCAAAGGAGTTGCATCGCAGCGGAAGAGTGACGTGTGGCAGGGAACCCCGAGGCTCGAGAGGTTCCTCTTCTGTCCTGATTGGCGGTGGGTCCTCCCAAGCCCTCTGGCCCAGACTCTGGAAATGTCCATCCGTGTGAATCTCACGAACTGCAGGGGTCGGGCTGGGGTCCTCCCCCGCACGCTGGTCACACAGGCAGAGGTCAGTGGACTCTGGGAGACAGTGCTCAGGCCAAGTTTTCGGGCCAGACGGGTCTGATCTCAACTCCAGTGCTGCCACTTAGCAGCCGTGTGGCCTTGGGCAACTGTCTTCACTTTTTCAGGCCTCAGTTTCCACATCCGTTAACTGGGTCTAGGTCGACACCCCTTGCTCAAGTCCATGAAGTGTAGTGAAAGTCAAATAAGCTAACACACAAAGAAAAGCCCTTTCGGACTGTGAAAGGCTAAGAAAATGCAAGGAAATGTGCCCACGACAATGCTGTCCCCCAAGTGCCATCCCCAAGGGAGCTGGTGGGGGGGGGTTCAGAGGCAGGGAGGTGGAGCCGAAGCTCTGCCATGTGCTAGTTATTAACCTTGGGCTCTTGGTGCCTCAGTTTCCCCATCTTTACAAGGGGAAAAACAGCACCTTCCACAGAGAGCGGTGGCCACAATCCAATACACAGAAAGTGCTTGGAACGGTACCTGGCACGTAGTGAGTGCCAAATGGATGCCAGCTGCTGTTATTTTCTCGTGTATTTAACACGGGCTGGAAGCGGCTGCAGGGGAGGGTCAGACTTTGCACTCGGACAGAGGTTCGAATGTGAGGTTCAAATCCATGCTTACTGGTTTGCAAGCTGCCGTGACCTTGGGCAAGCTACTTAAATCTCTGAGGGCCAGTCTTCTCCTCCGAAATGGGGGTGATAAAGAAACCTACTGTGTGTCTACAGCGGTAAGTATTTGCTGGCTGGTTCCTCTAAAGCGCTGAGAACCAACCGTTGGCTGTCACGATCCTTATTATCATCCCCCTCCCCTCGCCGTAGCCACGCCTCTTACTTACCTCGCTCCTCCTCCTTCTCCCGGACAACCCGCCCCTTGAGGGCTCGGCTCCACGCTCCTCCTCCGTAGTCGCCCAGCTTGGCTCTCTCATTCCCATCTTTGCCCTTGAACCAGGGTCCGTACCGGCGGGCGATGCTCGCGGCCTCGCCCGTGTCCCGGAAGCCTCTGCCCAGATGCAAGTCGCCCAGGAAGGGCAGCTCCGCGCTCTCGGCCGGGGCCCCGGCGGCGGCCGGGTTGGCCTGGTTCTGGGACACGGCGGGCTGGCCCACGAAGCCTGAGTGAAGGAAGACGAGGCTCCCTGCCGTCAGGTAGAGCACCAGAAAGGTAAAGAAGCGCACAGGTTTCCTGCGGAAGTACCGCTGGAACTTGAACCAGAGCTTGGCCATAGCCGGATCATTCCGGACTGGCGTGCTGGGACTTGGCTGGAGGTGGCACACAGGGAGGGGACAGGGGGGCCTCCTTTCCCAAGCTCCCCTTAGAGACGGACCCCCTGGGGGTCTGCGGGCGTGTTCCGTCTGTGAAGGTGATGGCCAGGACCAGAGCTGGAGGACACGTGGAGCACTTGGCCTAGGCAGAGAGAACCGAGGGCAGAGCTCCCCAGCGGTCCGGAGGTCAAGGTGAGCTTCCTTGGGCTGCAGAAGGAGTTCTGAGGCCCCAGACACCGAGGAGTAGGTCCCATTTTCCTACATCTTGTTCCTCGCTTCAGAGAGTTCACAAAGAGTTTGAAAATTCAACCTGGAGTACTCTGCAGGCCCCGCCGCGGTAGCACCCTTCTTGCCCTTCCTCGGGCCCTGGGGCCTGTCGGGCGGGATTACTTCCCCGAGGCCCGCTCTGGCTTCTCCCCCAGGGCGGGGCTGAGCCCCGTGTGTCCACCTCCTGGAAGCAGAAGCTGGCGGGCTTCCATCCGGTCATGCACTAGGGCTCAGGGCTGCCACCTGCAGAACAGCACAGACACAAGTGTGAGAAGCTTCCTCGCAGAGGTCATGGCTCGAAGGTTCTGGAACATTGTCAGGGGACGATGTGGAGCGCAGAGGAGGGAGTGAACCGATGGCCCGAAACACCCAGCGGTGCTGGACAGAAGCCCAGTCCAGAACACCTGCCTTTTCCTTTAAACTGCATGGGGAGTTTGGGGGCTTGAACCCTACTGGGCGCTGGTCTGGGGACAATAGGCTTTACCTCGGACAGCCACAGGCTCCTGTGCCCCACGCTTCCTACGTCTTTGTCGCACACACACTGGTTTGTGGGTTCCCTGAAGTCCAGAAAGCACTTCCTGGGCCCTTGCTGAACTGTCTGTTGGACCAGTCTGATACTGAACCCGATCCAATTCATTCATTTTTTTCCTAACAAAACTTTAGTGAGCAGCTGCTATTTGTAGCAGGCACTGTCCTGCGTGCTGGAGAGAAAGCTGTGAGTGAGAGAGACAAAGTCCCTCCCTCACAGGGCGCACATATTAGGAAGAGGAGGAGATCAGATCCAGCCTGGCTCCTTTAGCCAAGGAAGAAGGAAGCCAGGATCATTTAACAACATATTCATGCATTGCGGCATGTCTTACGTTGTGACAAGCCCTCTGCTCGAGTTATCTCGTGTATTCTCCCCCAGTTTCCTATGGGAGGTAACTGTTGCCCCATTGTACCTATGAAGAAACTGAGGCCACAGGTGGTGAGTGGTGGCACTGGGGTTTGAACCCTGGATGGCCCAGATGCAAAACCGTCGCTCTTCACCACTGCCTTTTCGAGTCTGCCCGTCCCCCACGTGGTCTGGGCTTCACTCGGGAATTCAGAGATGGCCCCTGCAGCAGTCCCTCCCAGTGACCCGTGGTGGCTCACCCTTTGCCGGGGTCCCTCAGAGTGTGGTCTGAGAAGCATCGGATTCAGAGTCACCTCGTTAAAGATTCCTGACTTCTCCGACCAGAATCTCTGGTTGAGGGGAAACCTAGAGGTGTAACAAGGTTCCCCTGGGTGATGGTACTGAGTGCCAAGGTTTGAGAATCACTGCTTTAAGAGTCAACGTTCAGGATCACCAGCAGGAGAAAAACAGAACGGAAATGAGAAAATAGAAAACTCCCACTGGCTGATGTTCTTCCACATTTCCACCAGCAGGGGGCCTCGTGACAACCTTGGTCAACACATGGATTCAACTGTCAGCCAATGGGCCACCTGAATGATTAACAGCCCCTCCTAATCCAGACCGTAGACAGTCTAACTATGGTTCAAGGTGGCGTCCGCCGGTCCTCCATATGCCTTCCCATTCACTCAGGAACTAAGTACTGAGCACCTGCAATGCACTAGCTATTGTTCGGGGCACTGGGAATAGATCAGTGAACAAAACAGCCCCCAATCTGTGTTCCTGTGGGGTCTAACTCTCTGTTTATCCATTGATCCATCCACCTAGGCATCACTCTTTACTCCATCCATCAATCCACCTACCCATCCATCCATTAAGCCACAGGCCGTCCACCCATCCATCAATCTACCTAACTCTCCATCCATCCACCATCAATCAACCCACCCACCCATCCATCCATCTGAACTGTAGCAGCCCATTCATCCCTCTGACTCTCCACCCACCCATTCATCTGCCCATCCTTCCATTCACTTACAAACATGTGTTTCTTGCCTACTGTGTGTTTGCCTGGGATGCAGAAGTAAATAATTCAGGGTCCCTGGCTCTCAGAGAATTCAGAGCGTACTCTGGGAGACAGCAATGTAAATAATCACTGTACTGAATCATTGTACGAGATAGTGATAAACCCTGTAGTAGATGTATGTATAAGAGACAGAGCAGCAATTAATAGTAATAACTCATGTTCATTGTGCACTTACTATGTGCCAGACATCGCTCTAAACACATCGTACTCCGATTTAATCCTCATAACAATTCTGTGAGGGAGATCTGTGTCAGTTTCAGAGAGGAGAGGTCAAGTAACTTGTCCAGGGTCACACAGCTGGTGAGTGGCAGCTGGGCTATGAACCCAGGGTCACTGGACTTCACAGATTGTATTCCTGACCTTGCATCTCGCCTGGTCTCGTATCCCTTTGAGAATCTGATGAAAATTAAAGACATATGCACAGAAAAGAGCCTTAGACCATACGCTCCCAGACTTGGCATTACAACGTCAGGAGGTTTGTGGCCCCGGGGGGCGAGAAGTCCCAGAATGTGGGAGCCCAGGACGGTACGGGTCTGAAAAGTAAGGGTCTTTGAGCTGGCAGGTCTCTCAACAGGGGTCGGTTTTGGGGAGAAGGAAGAGCAGAAGGTCGCCCAGGGAGGGGGGACAGCACACATGGGAGGCAGGTCACCGCGGTGGAAGGACCGAGGAGCTCAGGGCGTGGTGGGGACACAGTTGGGCAGGCGGTGGGTGGGCAGGGCCGGACTGTGGGGAGCCTCGGACGCCGAGCTCTGGAGTCTGAATTGTGCTCTAACAGCGCACGTGGGGGTCCACGGAAGTTTTCTGGTCACACTGTCACTGTGGAAAGACCAGTTTCTAATTAGCTTGAAAGCCTCCGGCAGGAGGTGGTATCCCATGGTATCCCCTGTGCAAAAACATGCCAACTTTCTTTGCGACTGGGCCAGGATGAGAGGAGGTCAGCAGTCCTCACAAGGATGGGCAGGGGGTCACCAACCCTCCGGCGGCATTCAGGCAAGAGCGTGGACTCTGGAGGCAGGCCGGCCTGGGTTCAAATCCTGCTCCTCCCACCCTCCAGCTGCGTGACGGGACAAGACACCTCTTTGCACCGACTGAGGTGCCTCAGCTGTAAAGTAAACATAAGCATCTTGATACCCCAGACGTATATTGCTGGGAGGGTTGAATTAAAAATTGCAGAAAGAGGCCTGGCCGGTGTGGCTCGGTTGGTTGGAGTGTCACCCTGTAGACCAAAAGATCATGGGTTTGGTCCCCAGTTGGGTCGTCGGGATACATACAAGAAGCGGCTGATCACTGTTTCTTTTTCACACCGATGTTTCTCCCCCCTCCCTCTCTCCCTTCCTTCCCGTCTCTAAAAAACAAACAAACACACAACTCAATAAACATGACCTTGGGTGAGGATAAAAAAATTTGCTGGAAGAGTGTCTGGCACATAGTAGGTGCTCAAGAAAGCCCCCTCCCCTGCAAGCACATGCGAGCAGCCTGTAAAGCATGTGGCTGCCGTAGAGGCGGCAACAATTTCGGCTGCTGTGTTCTCTGTGTCTTTTTGTCTCTCTGAGGATATTTTTGGGTCTAGTCCCCTTTTGTTGTTCCCTTCTCATTCTTTTCTATTTCAACACATCTTTTCTCTAACTGGGCGCCAAATGGGTTTTAAGAGGATAATGAGCTCATTAGGAGCTGGCAGGGAACAGAAAGAGATTGAGGCTTTGGTGGCGTGGGGAGGGACGGGGGCCCTCCCAGGAAAGGGCTGTGAGGCGGGGGCTCCTCCAGGGAAGGGGGCACTGGGTGAGCCTCCCACACCATCCTGCCAGTGCTGGGAGGGGGGTACATCTGGAGGGAGAGCACCCTGGAATCTGAGCCCCACAGGGGTGGGACTGCGTCCTCTCCCTCACTGCACTAGCCCCAGCCTGTGGTGTGCTGTGGGTCCCCGGCAAACACCCGTGGAGGAGATGAAGGCAAAGAATCAGGGGACCGGCCTCCCCCCCAGGGCGTGACCTTGAAACCATGACTCCGTGCCATGTGCCAGGACACTGGGGACAGCCTGGGAGAACTGTCCATCCGGGACTCCGTGGAGGGGACATCTTGCCTTCCTCAGCTCTGGGTGGTGCGGGGGTCTGGGGCCCTTGCTGAGCTGTAGTCTTACCCCCCAAGGGAACCCCCAAATCTTCTCTGCCTCTCATGTCCACCCCTCATTCTCTCCCCACACAAGTCTCTCTCTTTTCTCTCCCCATACAGAAATTCTTCCCCAGAGAGCAGGGGGAAATAAAGCTCCCTGCCACTTGTTGAACACCTACTATATGCCAGACATGGTTTCAGGGTTTTGCAAACGCATTTCGACAAAATCCTGCTTCCTGGCCACCCGGGAGGTAGGTATGAAGTTTCTTCCCAGTCCACAGACTATGTGGGGTCTCCGGTCAGCCTTCCGCAAGCCCCTCGCCTCCCGGTCTCCGTGGGCTCGTTAGGTGTGGGAAGCCGTGACCGCACCCACGTCCTCTCCTGTCACTTGCAGCCACGAGGCCCTGGCATGGGCCATGGCCTCCCGGAGCTGCGGTTTTCTCTCCATAAAGTGGGGGCTGACCACAGCATATGCCTCCTGGGGCTTTGGGGCGCAGTCTGCGGGAGAGTCCCTAAGCCTGGATGGAGTCGCTGCTTGCTAAGAGCTGGCTGTCATCCGAGCCTCAGTTTCCCCATCTGGTGACTGTAGCCGATGACGCCCAGCTCGCTTCTCTCTGGGGGCCAGCGGGAGTTTCTACAAGGCCGAGGCTCGCCGGGGGGGGGGCCCCTTCTCGGGAGTGGTGGCATTTGGTTACTGCAGTCCAGGTTTCCAGGCGGAGCCTCGGAGTGTCTGAACGCGGCCTATTTTTAGTGCCGCAATGAACCTCTGCTGTGGCGCTGCCAAGAAAATGAGTGGCGGGCAGAGCGGCCCTGCGGGAAGGGAAAACAGTAGGTGCTGCAGGCCCCGCCCTCCCTCCCTCCCTCCCCCTCCCCCTCCCCCTCCCTCCGCTGAAAGGAGCCACAGTGCTCCCGCCTTCGAGTTCGGGGGCCGGCAGCTCTGGCTGGAAGCCCGTAAGGCTGGGCAGGAGGCCAGCCCTCCCTCCACAGCCCCCTGAACTCTACTTGAGGGCAGAGGCTCCGGGACCAGACGACCCCCCGACCATCCACGCTGGGCCAAGAAATAGCTCCTGAGAAAACGGGTTTGTGAGGGTTTGATAGCTTTGCAGTTCTAGCTGGGGGGCGTGGTCTCCGAGGCAACGGGAGGCCTGGCCAGAGGTGAAAGTGTAGTCTGGTCTAATG